ACCTAGAGAGAGGGGGAAAAGCCATCTATCAAGCTTGACGTACTCACTACGCGGATCAAGCAGATCAACTTCCCACCTCGCGGGTTTGAACTAATGAGCCAAAGTACTAGTACCCAGACCATAAACACAAATAATCCCCTGTCCCGTCCATATGCCTGGTTAAGTCATGACCAAGGTGTCCAGTGGCGGAAGTCAGGTTAGGACCGTGGGTGATGGATGCATATGTCACCAGTTCCTCGATCTTGTAGATCGCTGGTGATTAGTGATTCCAAACTACGATTTTTTGATTTCAAATCCAGGAAACCCTTCAAAGTTTCCATCTCCACGGGAAGGGGGCAAAAAAAACAATGAAACAAACCAGCATAATGCAGACAGACACCAGACGCCCAATTTCAAGGCGTCCATTGCTTCTTGTCAAACCAGGACTCGATTTGAGTTTCAGCAAGGCTCATTCATCCACTTCCCGACTTCCGCGATCACACTTCTCGTCTTCATCCCAGCTATGGCTTCGTTGCCGCTTCTACTCTACGGACGGACCAGGTTATCATCTGCCGGCGTGACTCACTTCTTTTTACTAGAGCTTGACTTCTAAGGATCCGGGAACTTTGACCCTTGTTCTCTGCATCCTTGGCTTCTTGCGAATGAGGAGGTGGCTGACGGCTCTTCTGCCACCATATCGAAATCGAAATCCGGTCCAAAACTCAATGTTCCATGGCAGGTGGACGCCGCAGGCGTGCTCGCCTCTGTTTCCTTCTTGATCAACTCGCTTCGGCAAGCGCGCCTTTTTATTTGAGCGTGCATGCTCGGAATCTGCGCCCTGCTACTGATATGAAGCTCGGGTGATAATGCGATCGCGTTTCTGGACACTTCCGGTATTTCCAATCCGTTCGTCGTGAGCCTACAGTATGTCAAAGTAGGAATCGGGTCGGCGCTCGCTCGTTGCTTTCGCGCGCATTTAGCTTTCCACTCCACTCTATCATGAAGCTTCAACTTTGATACCTATCTAGGGTATCCATGCTTATTTCTTTGAAGCATGCCTTTGGAAAATAGATCAGAGACGAACCTTGAGAATATCTCTGAGCACAGCTTATAAGATTGATATGTCGTTGTACACGAAAATGATCCCAGGAATAACCCATTCAGTTGATAATACGAAGCTGCCGTGGTGCCAATGCCTCACAACTGTCTATATCAACTCAACCTGGAGGTTCATATGGCGAGAAACATCAACATTTGCGGATGTGGCCCGAAAAGAGATTTTATGCAGAAAACATGCCCAAATGAGCCAGGGTACTTGAAGCCGTCATTCCATCTGCCCTGACCTGTTTGCTGGGATCATGATGGGTCAGGCCACTAACCTACTAACTAGAACCTAGCCAGCCATTAGCACACACATTGGAATAATGTACCTACCTAATCAATTACTACAACCCTTACCCAGATGAATAACTTATTACAAAGGGGGCTCCGTTAAATTGAAAGATTGGTCACTACATATCATGAAACACACATGCTAGTTGAAAACCGGAATTTATCCTAGATAGGTAAATACAAAACATCAAGCAACACAACACATAACCCCTAAGCAACACATTCAAACTCCAAAGTTCCAAATAAGAGTCCTCCAAGTCTAGACCCTCACACACTCAAAATCAAAATCATACCTGTATTCTCCTAGAACAAAACCTGAATGCAAGCGTAACACAAGCAAACGCAACGCCATACCCGCATGAGCGATGCAGAGAACCAGAACCAGAAACTCCATTTCCAACAATACCCAGCACCTACAAAAAGAGACAGCTCAGTCCAGCCGCTTGTCCAACGCGGAATCGGACCCGCCGAGATCTAGCGAGAATCCTGATGCTTCCTGCTTTCCTGCACGATGTCCAGTTGCCTGGACTCGGGTTATTACTGTGCGTACTATGCATGCCAACCGGGCAATGCGACCGGTTTGGTTGAGTTCTGTCAGCCGGGTCCCAAGGTTTGTCTAGCCTTGCTCTGTGCATGCGAAGGACGGGGGCCGACGGATTTGGAATCCAGCTGGGGGTATGCATGTCCGGGGATTAAGATATATCACCCTGTAACATTATGCTTTTCTCTGTTAGATTTGGATACTTTTGTTGTTGGTTAGTGGAGTTTATTTGTTATTGGTTCCAAGGTTTGTTTTAGGTATATCTGTACATTTATGGTTACTGGTGGATATTTATACTAGTACTTCCGTTTTGTTCGTTGGGACTGTTAATGCGATTGTGAGACCACTGCAGTTGTTCGAAGCTTTGTCCTGGTATCTGGGCGTTAGCGACCCTACCTTGCCAAGATAGGTGTCAGTAAATGCCGAAGTTAATTGACTTGATTTGCGAGGCTCAAATAAAACGCCCGAGGTAAACTGACATCTTAATTGGCTTCGCTTCGCTCCGCCAATAAATAATGCCGTCTGTATGGGAGCAAAATACCCCCCCGGCAGAAAAGTTGGTCTCTGATTGGCTAAAACGAATGACTAGACTTGGAACAATATTTCTTCGCGCCGCATGTATACCTCAGGATGCGAATAACTTTACATATTGTTTTATTTATTTGGATTGTTTATATCCTGTTCCCCTATGTGTTTTTCAACCTCTCTACATGTTCTTTATCTCATTTGTCATCATAGAATCTCCTACAGAGACACATCTATTCAAGAACGTGACGGATACACTGAGCGACGCCACGATATGGCTAGGCGCCCAAATTGGCACTCAGCACCCCTCGTATAAAGAAAATTTCCTTCTACAATAGTATATAGCTATATAGAGTCTATCCTAGCAAACGTGGTGGCTTGTTGCCCTAAACAATTATAGAGGGGGAAAAAAGAAAGCGTATCTATCCGGACTCGAATAGACAACATGCGATTGCTTTTTGAGAGTAGAGAATACAGTTTTTCTAGCTTCACACCTTAACTAAGGTCCGCTAAAAAAAATAAAAAATGGGTAGCTTCTCTTTGATTGAGCGTGTCATCCTTAGTGCAGGGGCCATGCTAATCTTCTCTGTATATTTTCATTTGACAAATGTTCCGAAGAACATATACAATGAACTTAAAGTTGATCATAGCCTCGCTTTTTTATGCCATAGTCTACCGCCTATTATCCTCCCACGTTAAGCTGTAGAAATATTCACACATTAGATAAATGATTGGACACCGAGAGGAAACATTGCACTTGACCTACTAGTTCAATCTATTGATAAAGACTTTACTCTGGATCTAAATATTATGATTTTACCTACCAACGTGCCTTGCATTATTGGACAATGTGTTCAATAATGCCATATTGGAACACGCCCGCCGCTTCCTCGCCCCACCACATCCCTTAACCTCTCAGAGCTATTTTTGTCGACTTCAATGTGGCCGTAACTAACTGTCAGATTAGCGCCAGAAGTTTGCTCGAAATGAATATCTCTATCTTGCCTCTCAATCGCTAGACCTGATTAAGGATCTATTAAAATGCTCATTACAAGCGCACTCCGAAGTTAGATAGTACCAAATTCTATAAGAGCCCGATGCGTACCTGATCTCTCATCGCTCGCTTCTTTCTTGAGAAGAACCTTAAGCTTACATTATCATATAGCGTTTGAACCTCGAACCGCTTGATCGAGGTTATCCGTTCTATATTCCAGCGACTGTTCGTCATGATGCTTATACACTTTATTTGTTTGTCTATTGCCAATTTTAAATGGTGATTTATACTCTCTGAAGAAACTATTTGAATTGACCGAAATTGAGAAGCACCAATCAACTCGATAGTACAAAGAGAGATCAAATACATATTCGACCACAAAGAATCAAATTCGAGGACCCCGTCAGATTTCATGGATGCCACCGTATCTGAAACCTTCATATCAAGACGGCGAAGATACTAGTAGAGGTCCGAGATAGATCTGGAGATTGAGATATTCTGTCATAGCCAAGTAATATTCCTCGTCTTGAATATCCGGCATGAAAGCTTCCTCATTTCCTCCCACGCCTAAGTTGCCTCGCAACACCCCACAGCCGCGGTTGCCAACTTGACCAACGCCTTGTCCACTTTCTCAGCCCTGCTCGAATAATTCCGGAAGCCTTGCTGTGCGCGTTGTGCGATTTCCCCGAATAGTTTCTGATCTCCATCGGCTGTGCAAAGACTTGGAAGAGGCGTATTCATGATTGCAGTGAACAAAATATTCTCAAACTTTTTTAGGTTGTCTTCTGGAATGGTTTTGATCTTGGCTCTCAGATTGAAGTTGTTTATTGATACATTTCCACAAGGTCTTTGATACCTCAATGGCAGTGGTTGTTGCGATAAGCACGAAAATGGAAGTAAGAATGATAGGGTACTTCATTTGATTTGATGCTTACAGAAGATGGAATGCGGAACTGTTCAGGGGAGAAGAATTTGGGTTGCTGAAATTGTGGAGATGGCAGCAGGATGGCAGGCATTAAATACCTAAACAAATAAGAGATCATCATGAGTGTTTTGTTAGATATTGAATGATCTGGTAGCGACCCTAGGTAAGTGCAACTTGAATTAACTTAAATAGCGCCTGAATAGGGCAGTGAATGTCGATCTGTGCATACTATTGATTTAAAAAATGGTTGGATATTAGACTTGTACACCAGTGATCCTATAGTTCAAATAACGCAGCTGCGTGTGGGTACGACAGGAAATGCCGATCCGCACTTAATATTGATACAGGGAGGATCGAAATCAGTTTCACCACTTGTACACAGAGATTCTTTCTCAACCCCCTCTTTCGAAAAAAAAATAAAAATTCTTGTCAAAATCAGGTACCAAAGATCTCAGAATACTATTCCCCCAGGAATATTTTTGTCCAGTAGATGTTAGACATGTACTTCACTGCCTCGTTCGGCTGCCTATGATAATTCTTCCTCGTGGATTTGATTTGTGTCTGCCTCGGGAGGGGAAACACCACTTAGGCAATATAACAACACAAACCATCCAGTGTCAACCGATTCCCCAATAGGACTCAATATGGCGTGGAATCATCTCCCCTCGGAGATCTTTGACATGATTCTCCAAGGTGCCGATCTCGAGACTATCAAAAACGTGCGCCTGGTGAACAAGGTCACTGCGCAACGATGCCTCTCCCCTCGATTTCTCTCCTGCGCATCGCATATTAAAACCGATCTCACGGAGCAAAGCCTTTGGAAAGTAATAGAACGTACAGCACATCCTATTTTCAGTCGTGCTGTACGCTATCTAACCGTCTTGGCCGTCTGCTACGACCACCGGGGAAAACACGTTCTTTTCGAAAAGCACTTGACCACCAGAGGATATTGGAATCCATTGAATTGGAGGCGCAGATATGGTCTGTTTTATCAAACACCCCGAGCTACATATAATCTCGAATGGCTCCAGCAACAGCAGGCGAGCCGCGACGCTGTGTCCGATCAATTTATTATCCAAGTCCTTACTTCCGCGCTCGACTCTTTCATCGAACTTAAGCAAATCAACCTCCAGGCTCAGGTTATGACCTCTCCTAATGAGAGGTGGTCGCCCTATACCGTGCTTGCACCGGTGATACTGCCATGGGCATCCCATGTCTGTTACTTGGTCTTGGCAGCCGTGGCGAAGGGTGAATCGACCGTGCCGGAAATCAATATATATACTGCGTATGAGCGCGATTCTAAACCTGCTAGATTTCCCAGCCCAAACGAGGTTTACTGCGGTGTTTCTATCGAGAAATTGAGTCACTATCTTGACAAGATCAATGACGGCGTCGAGGTTCGACTACCATTTGGGTCCATGAACGTTTGCCTCGCAACCGAGAGGCAAGCACAATTCAAGCAGGAGCCAGGGTGGCTGCAGACAGGGTATGCTTCTTTTTTATCTGTATTCTCAGGCTCGGTTGCGGGAGAGAGTCCCAGGGATGATCTCTCCGGCTTGATGCGATTGCTCAAAGCCACCCCTCATCTTCAAGGCCTAAAAATCGAGTTTGACCATGAGGATCTAGCAACCCGCAATGAATTCCGTGGGATTTTCACCAGTGTGGCCAATCAAGCATCTTTCCGTCAATTGAAGGAGTGCACATTGATCCGTCTTCCCATCACACCTGCTGCGCTGCTCAGATTTCTGGAGGCACATCGCGACCTTATAAATCTCACCCTAAAATACCTTTCTGTTTCATCGGATAGCTTGTGGGATCCAATTTTCCGCTTCGTAGGTGCCGAGATGACGGATCTCAGATGGTGCACCATTGACCATCTCTATCATGGTGACGCTCGTATCCCACTTGACCGGGAGAATTTCTCGAAGAATTATTGCCCACGCCGCGCCTACCTTCCTGTTGAATTCGCCAATAATGGCGGTCCAGATGTTTACTTTATCTTTTTGCCAAATGACCATAATGTACCAATGCCACCTTCCTGAGTATTAAGTGGACTGCGCACGGTACCACTTGAGCAGCTCCAGTACAGGCCATGGAGACGAGCAGAGCGAAGCTAGGCGCGGATCATCCAGACACGCTGACGAGCATAGCCTATATCACGTCGATATACAGGAATCAAGGCCTGTGGGATGAGGCCGAGCAGCTCGAGGTGCAAGTCATGGAGACGAGCAAGACAAAGCTCGGCGCGGACCATCCTGACATGCTGACTAGCATGGCCAACCTAGTGTTCATCTGGAATTCTTCAGGTCTCAATGCTGAAGCCATTGACTTACTACAAAATTGTGTAGCCCTACAGAACCGGATACTTGGCTCAAATCATTCTCAATTTCTATCAAATTCTGAATCATTGTTAGAGTGAGAAAATAAGGAATTGGAAACAGAGAGTTGAAGATGCATCCTACACAAAACTATCTATTTCATATAATATGTTTACAGATAATTCATGGCCTTAGTTTCGCAACCGGTTGTGCCATCATACGTCATTTGTCTTCAAATTAAATGTTAGGATTAGATTTCCACTCTCAAGCGCATGATGCTACCAAAAGCAGGACGGTGAAAGAGAGGACGCAAGGACGAGGGTGAGAAGGTGCTTGTATTGGTGGTAATTCTATTTCATGTAATTCAATACATCCAGTCTCACGTGATAGTATGTTTCACTACAATACAGTCCTTTGAAACAGAACTAAGCTGGATATTGATAGTGTTTCTTAATAGGGTTGGAGAAAGAGCCTCTGTATGGAAGTGGTGAAACTGTTTCCGATCCTCCCTGTACTTTAAGTTTCACAAGAGACAGCTGCTTATCAATGGTGAACTATTCTTTGCCGATCTTAATCAAGAAGCTAACTTAGTTAATCAGTTGCGTTCATAAATTTTCAAATGTTTACAACTAAAGGATAAAAGGGATCGAAATAGTTTGAGATTTTGAAAATTAGCATGTCCTCTACTAGTACATCTCATTCTCCTAGGAACATCGTATCGCACGGAGCTTCCGGATTATGGCAGAGTTTCGATAGCTCTGTTCATTGCAGTCTTCTTGGTCAGACTCAGAATATGTTAACAGTTCAATTACTTCCATTAATGGGATCATCGAAAACCAAGGCTTGAATCTCTTGTAGATCTTCCCAATCCTCAAAATCCCCCATGTCCCCCGCCATTGGCAAGCAAGATTCAATGCTTTCAGTAAATGGCAACAACTTGACATGGAATCTTGAGAAATCTCGATTATCCCCTCCAGATATTTCCAGAACTCATCGATCTTCTGAAGCCAGCGGGCCCGCTGTTTAATATTAGTCCATCCAGTCTCCGACTTACTGGTCGGGTCTTGAGTGGTTCTGACCTGCGCCTTATCTATAGCCCTAATGTTATATACTGGGGATGGGGGTTAAGACCATGTCCTTTGACCCATCAAGACGGAGTCCTTCCACATTAGAGCCGTTCATCAATGTGGATATTTCATTCAAAGTGTCCCGATCTCGCTTTTGTGCCCCGTAAAGCCGATGTGACTTGTTATTCGCCAGCTCCTTCTCGGAGAAACGGGACGACTTGGTTGACAAGCCTCCTTGACATTGGGGTTGGTAACCCGAATCTCTTTGATATACTAATTGATTGTCGTTTCCAACTCCCGAATTGCGTGCTTCACTTTGTCTGCAATTCTCTTTAGTTCAATGGTGATAGAGATGTGATCTCTCGGGTCTTCCATTTCAAAATTAATGACACGAAAGGAGGGCTATTGAAACAGCGCTTCAAGGCTCCTCACCGACATCACATACTCTATTTCTTCGAGATTCAGCATCAGCTGCTGAGCCTCTCGGAACTGGCTATTGAACATCGCTTGGAAGACATTGGAGGAAGGCTCACATATCAGGTTTTTTTGGCACCTTGTCCTCCTTGTCATCGTTCGATCTTCTGCCATGTAGGCATCGGTATGGACGATTGCCCCATAAGAAATCGAAGTTTTTGTTTAGGATTGCATCATTCTCTTTCTTCACCAGGACATATCCGAGTCCGAAATGATTGTAAAATTCAATCCAGTGCTGCAGACGCGCAGGCGGCCCGGGCTTCGACGGATATCGTCTGTGGAAGTCAAGGATCGCACGTGTCGAATTCTTGTAATCGCCCGCTGGATACCAGGTGTTGTCCTCCAGGCTGACTCGGGATCGTTTTCGATCCACGCGAGTCATTCGTCAACCGACTCCATAATTTGATCCACGGAGTTCGGGTCAAGACCAGTGAAGGTCACAGATCCACGGCATCCTGTATTCGAATCGCGGCGTCCCAGATTAGGCTGGTCAGCAGCAACGGTACTGACAATGACTGGGCTTGGCCCTGATGCCTTGACATCTTCCCCGCATTCCCTGTTGCCATCGAAGTGAACCGCAGGGGAGAGAGAAGGAAGAAGGAAGACCGTGCCAGAGGTATGGGCCATATACATGGGTCGCAGTAAACCAAACGCAGCATCGGGAGTCTCCATACGGAGATCTCTTGATAAAAGTAATGAATGAAGAGAAAGTAGTGAATGAAGATAAGGAAGTAAAGATGATGAAGAAGTGACAGAAACAATGAAAGAACTTGAATGAGGGGCATCTTGGTACGAGGATATGTTCCAGTTGGACACCCCCAGCACTGAAGAGCGCCATCATTTCGTCTGGTCAACCACCTGGACATGATAGTATAAATTGAAAGGTTAGTTATATTCAACACTGCGCTATGAAGGCTTAGTGACTGGGATTTATGGACGGTAATAGCTGCAGCGAGGACAACAGGGAACTGGACACGTCTGTATGTTGTCCCCTCGCGGATAAAGTCACGTTCACATGGGAAAATCGGCACTAGACTATAGCCATCGCGGTCAATAGAATGAATAGGGCCCTTATATGAATTGAAGTGGACCATCAAAACGAATGGCATCGTATGGCGAGGGATAGGATTTGAATTTCCGGTAGTGGGTATCCATGTACTATCGCATATAGTAGTACCGAGGAGTTCTTCCATTCTTCCTTCTCATCGCTCTACAGGCTGACCGTCGGGCAGAGCGCTATTAGCAGAGACTAAGCTAGCAGGGTCAATAGCCGCAGCTTGTTCATGGGAAGGTTTTGTTAAAAGTTGCGTGATAGAGCCTGCTTCGATGGGGGGAAGGAGGGCAGCATTTAGGGTTCATTCAATCCATTCAAAATAGCAAAGGGGCCAAAGGGAGAGGACGTGGTTCTTTTTGTGACTGTGGAACAGGAAGCTGTAAATATCCACTAAATGATTCAGGCTGGATGTCTACACGACATACATCGCTTGCGCGGGCCATATCGTCAGTACATAGTACTAGCCACCTCAAAGTGTGGTTCTAAGAGAGAGGATTCAGAAAGTACTATAAGTGGGCGACCATGGTCATTGAGCACTCAGTGTCTCTATAAACTAGGTAGCCACGAAGGTGATCAAAGAAACCAACTATAGGAAGCTTCCTTGTCTCTAGCAAATAATGGTCTAATTTCTAGACCCACACACCTTCCACTTTCCGTACAAATATATAATAAGCCTCTGTCATTTTAATGTTTAATGTTTTTATATGAACTTAGTAGTACGAAGGGGTAGCTGCAATAGGGCTAAATATGATCGGAGCCGCATCGGGGCCAGTTTCCGAAATGGTCTTAACACGGCCCTTCTTTTCCGTATTCTATAGATGCACATGCAATCGAAGCCGGGTCCGCATTTCCGTAGTTGATCCTGTCCGCCTGTCAAGTCCCCAAAATTACCCAAATAAGCCTACGAGAAGACGCCCGGTCTGCGGCGACTCTCGGCAAGTTGATCTAGACTACAATAGCATAGGGCACCAATGAGGAATCGGACCGGGCTGGAAACAAGGTGGATTTCTTCCCCAGATTATGTGTTACTGTCATTAGGGGAAAGAGGAGACACGAAAAGGAAAACGAAGCTTAGTCCTCCGCACGTTGCGGGTGATATCGGGGAAGTCGGGGGGGACTGAAGTTCGTAGTATGCGCGAAAAAGGAGAGTGGAATTCTTAGGCTCAGCGGAGTGGATTGGGTCCCGATTGTTCGAACTATGTTTAAAAAAGTGCGGATAAATGGATACCTGTGACTTGAATTCAAAAAACACAGTTTTGGATAGCTCTAGATAGCTATAGTCGAGCTTTTGGAGAAGAGTCGGCTGAATTCCCTAATAAGGAAGGCACCCGCGGTTAATTTCTCCTCACCGGGGACTAAACATCACCACTTTCCCCTCATCCACTTTTTTTTTTTCTCCAATTTTATTTTTTTTGTCAGTATTTTGTGGTCTCCTCTTTTTTTACCGTAGGAATATAAAAAATGGGGCTGGATGGAATCCATCCCCGAAATGGATGATCTGCATGACAAAAAGGATATAATAATGCATAGGATCAACGATAAAGTCAATTGATTAAGAGTGTGATCTATGCAGTATGAAGAAGAATTTAATTGATAGAATTGTATTTTGTATATATTCATAGACTTTGACAAGCGCACTACGCGGTTAAAGAGATTTAATATTTGAGGTTCTCCCGATAAGTACCGAGTACACTCTGTTGCCTATTAAACACCAGCATAACAGCATGTACCGAGTACCCACCACCGCCGGCCCCCCGAGTGTCAATGGGGCAGAAAAAAGCCCGCCATGTGGTTCCTTTCACACCGATTACACCGATTCGCCTAAAGCAGCAGGCCGCGACACGGGACTTTCTTATCAAATTTTTGACTCCGAGCTCGCTTTTTCTCTTCCATTCTCCATCCCAGCTTTCCCCCCAAAAGCTTCACCTGCCCAGTTGGTGCGCTCTCCACCACCAACTTCCCTCCATCATGGCTGGCACCACGCTAGCAATGCGCGCAATGGCTGCTCCGTCCATCATGCAGCTCTCCTCCGTGTCGCGCCGAACCATCTCGACCACTTCCCAGGTTCTTCGCGCGAAGCCCATCCGCCCGGCCCAATCCATTTCACGCATTGCTCGTCGCGGTTACGCTGACGCTGCCCCTACCCCTACTCCTTCTCCTAATCCTTCCCCTGCCCAGAAGCCTAAGAAGCGATTCCGCGCCCTCCGCTGGGCATGGCGCTTGACCTGGTTGAGCGGTCTTGCTCTGACCGGTGCCCTGGCCTACAGCATCTATGAGCTGCGTCACCCCGTCGAGCAAACTGAGCCCGACCCAGAGAAGAAGACTCTTGTAATTCTTGGTATGACGCGATCGCGATCGATGACTCCTTCGGTCGAGAGATTGCTAATGTGACTGCCCTTGTAGGAACTGGCTGGGGTTCCGTCTCCCTGCTCAAGAAGCTCGACACCGAGAACTACAATGTCGTTGTTGTTTCTCCCCGTAACTACTTCCTTTTCACTCCCCTGTTGCCCTCATGTACTACCGGTTTGATTGAGCATCGCTCTATCATGGAACCCATCCGAAACATCCTCCGTCAGAAGAAGGCTAGCGTTAAGTTCTACGAAGCCGAGGCTACCAAGATCGACTACGAGAAGCGCGTTATCTACATTAACGATGACTCTGAGATCAAGGGTGATATCTCCCATACTGAACTTCCATTTGACATGCTCGTGATCGGTGTTGGTGCCGAGAACGCCACTTTCGGTAAGTGACGTATTGCGTTTCCCTTTGGCCCCAAACATACCAGCCCTAACAAAATACTAGGTATCCCTGGTGTTAAGGATCACTCGTGCTTCCTGAAGGAAGTTAACGATGCCCAGAACATTCGTAAGCGTATTATGGACTGTATTGAGACCGCTATGTTCAAGGACCAGAGCGACGACGAGGTTAAGCGTCTGCTGCACATGGTTGTCGTTGGTGGTGGCCCCACTGGTGTTGAGTTTGCCGGTGAGCTCCAGGATTTCTTCAACGACGATCTTAAGAAATGGATTCCCGAGATTCAGCACAACTTCCACATTACCCTCGTTGAGGCTCTCCCCAATGTCCTGCCCATGTTCTCCAAGCAACTGATCGACTACACCGAGTCTACCTTCAAGGAGGAGTCCATTTCTATTCGCACCAAGACTATGGTCAAGAACGTCACCGACAAGTACATCCAGGCCGAAATCACCAACCCCGACGGAAGCAAGACCCTCGAGACTATCCCTTACGGTCTTCTCGTCTGGGCTACCGGTAACGCCGTCCGCCCTGTTATCCGTGACCTTATGGGCCAGATCCCCGCCCAGAAGGACTCTCGCCGTGGTCTTGCTGTGAACGAGTACCTTGTTGTCAACGGTGCCGACAACGTTTGGGCTGTCGGTGACTGTGCTATTACCAACTACGCCCCCACTGCCCAGGTTGCTGGTCAGGAGGGTGCTTTCCTTGCCCGCCTCTTCAACACCATGGCTAAGACTGACGAAATCGAGAAGGAGCTTGCTAAGCTTTCCGAACAACAAGCCCTCGCTAAGTCTGGTGATGACCGCAACCAGGTTCTGGATGAGATTCGTGAGCGCCAGAAGCAGCTGCGCCGCACTAAGCAGATTGGTCCCTTCCAGTACTCTCACCAGGGTTCCCTGGCTTACATTGGTAAGGAGCGTGCTGTCGCCGATATCAGCTGGCTGAGCGGCAACATCGCTAGCGGTGGTACCCTGACCTACCTCTTCTGGCGCAGTGCTTACCTGAGCATGTGCTTCAGCTGTAAGATTTTCCAAACTCCCCCCCTCTTAACTTTCTTATAATCCATATTAACTAATATTCTTCCAGCCCGTAACCGTGTCCTCGTTGCCATGGATTGGGTCAAGGCCCGCGCTTTCGGCCGTGACGTCTCCCGGGAGTAAATCAATTACTGAAGCCATGCCTAGAAGCAGTCTGTAAACTACAGTTGCGCCTCCTTAATTTTCCTTATGTTAAATTCTCCCAACAAAATATTCTCATATTTTGTTGGTCACCTTTTGAAACGCCACGCCACCTCCACGTCACACCTGTCTCTCTCTGTTTCTTTTTTATTCTCGGTTTTCTCCATTCGTGATAGACATATCCATTTCGTTTTCGTTTTTGATGACCTAATCTTGGCGCTGTCGATTTCTCGTTCATCCCTGCATCTCATTTGTATACTTCCCTGAACATAGACTCTGTTCAGTAGAACATTTCTCCTGTTTGGGTTTGGGATGGAGATGGAGAGGCAAAAGCATTAATTTTCGCTCTTTGCTTGTCAATTCCTTTTTTTCTTCTTTGGGCTGTACGCTATGGGAATAAATAGTTAGGATCTGGAATAGTATTCGGAATACGCCATATTTTTTCAAGATATTTGCGTTTACTAAGTTTGAGAATGGAGGTAAGTCCTTCACTTGGAAAATACTTGCGTTTTCATTGTGTAGTTCGACATGGTATATGACTATCGTTTACTAATTCAGTATGCTGGTATATCCTCTAATTACTATGTTGGGATTCTTCTCATTTGCTAGTTGTCTCCATCTGAAAAATGAAAGAATAGTGGTTGAAATGTTCATGAGTATAAGATCCGGGAAGAGGAACTCCGAAGAAGTGTCAACGCATCTTGTGACGATGCTGCAGGCGCCTTTACAGAGACTATTTACCAGAAATTTGTAGACCAAAAGTGCAAGCTTCGAAGCGTTCCAATCACCGTCATGGGAATTTCCAGAGAGTCTTGGAAAGCTCAGTGGGCTGTGATGAACTGAGTCTGGAAATTGAGCTGGGTCCGGAAATCAGGGAAGATGTACATCATCTTGGTGGAGAAATAGTTCGCTCGAGTCAACAGTGTATTGACTAGTTCAAGGACTAGCATCTTTGTCTAATAAAACCAAGTAGCGTATGTGAGCCCGATAATAACAAAATATGACCAGGTTTGCTTTTCCCTCGATTGCTTGATCTCCCTTTCAAAGCTAATTGGCCTCGAAGTTGTCGAGAAAACTACAAACGACAATCCAGAATGGATACTCTTTTTCGCAGAATCAAAAACGACAATTCACGACTGTTGGCTATTATATGTCTTTCGGTCTCGAGTATATTCTGGGATTCACAATACTAGAAGACGCTGACACTGACACTCATCAAAAGCGCGTCAATCTTCTCCCACCTAACTTTGAAAATCCTCCTACCTTGGATAATTTTCTCGATCTTGGTCTAAAGAAGCGAATATTGATCATCGTATTTGGGAGGACATGCTTCTCAATCTCAGCCCTGATAAGCTAAAAGAGTACATTCGCAAACCACACTATCTGGACGGAGACGATGGACCAGAGCAAGTCTGGCGTTGGTCTCATGCGTGGAGCACACCCCGACAATTTATATCCTGGCCTTCGCAGGAGAGTCTGCACGGATTTGGCTATGTCATGTGGGATCGCAGTCGACTTGAAGAATGGGGCTTGCCCATGCACAAAAGACACTTTCGGTTAAGCCCTAAGTTTTTCTCTAAGAAGGCTTGGAAGAAAGAGCAAAAGAAGAAATATCGAGACGAACTGCGGACGTGGAAAACGAAGGCCCGTAATTTGGATAACGCGTATGAACCTGGGGAGATGGAATTCTCGGAATATAAATCTTCAGAGGATAAATATTCAGGGGTGAATCTTCAGATAATGGAGCACCAGAGAAAGGAGCATCCGTGAAGAAACCTCTCGTGCCTCCGGTTCGAATGCAAGCGCAAGGTGCGTGCTTGGCGTAAGACGAAAGGTCTCCACAGGCGCGTCCTCCAAAGGGCACAGTCCAGAATAAGAAAGACCAAAATAGCGCACTGGGGAGTTCTCGACAATGTAGCCAGATATGAGCAGAAATGGGATTAATTGTTATGGTTGTTGTATAGTATCCGTATCTAGATAGGGGCCTTGGGATCTTCACCACCTCGCAGCTCTCCTCTCTCTCCTTACTTCTCCTCCAGCTTTGTTATTCTCGTTGAATGAGATTAACTTCTGATATCATCTGTTCTTGATACTTAGTCGACATTTTTATTTTCTAGTTTTTTATCCCCGCGTATGTACTAATAGAAACACGCCCTTGACAACATCGAGAATAACGAAAAGGGAAAAGACAATGCAAAAGAGCAGCAGCTTGTAAATCGATTAAATTTGGACTGGATATGTACAAGAGCCGATTAGCTAGACAGCGTGAAATATCTCAGCGAGAGCGGAGAAAAGAAGAGCGTCAATCTAGAGACAGAGGGGGAATATGGAGGCCTAAGCCGGAAGGTATCAAAAGTACAGGGCGTAGAAAGGAAGGAAATGTATCAAGCAAGGGGGAGTAAGGAAATTACACAGATGATGGAGTCATAACAGGATTTTCTCAGAAAATGCCCCAGCGGCTTCGAGTTTCCTTCGCTGCCTGCGCACGTTCAGAGCCCCGACCAGGTTTGCGGCCGTCCAGCTGCCGAATACCTTCGATTTTTTGCAGGGCCAACTCTAGTAGCTCCTTTTTGCGGATAATGTCGAGGTGGCGGCGGACTCTGGGGTCTTCACGGGCAAAGCGTTCAACCTCGGCGTCGGAAAGGTGACGGCCGAGTCGGCTGTCCAGTTCACGAGGAAAGTTGTAGTAGAATTCGGAGAGGAGCTCGACGTTCAGGAAGAGGACGGCGGTTGATGTGAGCTTGTCTGCTACTACGTCGAGGAAGACCTCTGGGCAGTAGTATTTGTTCTTTTGAGTGGCGCACTGCTTGGATCGTACGGCCATCATTCGTAACTTGATGAGATCAGCCCGATCACGAAGGAAGACACCCTCCCGACCTGAAAGCAAATGAGTTAGTCAAAAAAATTGGTAAATTTGAAAGCAAGTTTCGGAACATACCTCTCTCTAGCAGAGCTGAGCTGAAACCGCCAGCACCTCCAGCACCGTTGCCCTCCAATACGACATCCCCTTTGCGAACCTTGTCAATAAAAGACATGACATCCTTCAGCTTCCGCTTTCCAACAGTATCCTCAACATGTTTTGTAGCTGATTCGCAGGCGCGCAGTTCCTCCTTAAGGACTTTGCTAACGTTCTCACGACCCTTTGACCACTCTGGGTCCTCGACCTCGATTTCAAACTTGTATGGTTTGATACAGTTCTCCACTTGATCACTCGTGCTGAAGAAGCGGTCATTCAGAATACTTGTACAAGCATCAATGATTTGCTTATGGGCACCTGGGTGAGAAGCAAATGTGGAAGCCGCCAGGAGCGAGTCAACATGGTTTCGCAGAGCATTGGCAACCACAGTAGTTGCGAGTCTGCCAATGCCCAGCTTTGTCAAGGAAGAAGTAGATGCATCCAGTTTGCGGTGCCAGTACAGGGACTCGGGATCAGCCTTGGGCAAATCCTTGAGTGGATCCAACTCCATCATGGGAGGATTCAAGTCATCCACAGGCTTGTTCCAATAGCGCTGAGCCATAATATCCATCACTCGTTGATCTAGTTCGGCTTTCAACATCTCCCGAACCTGCGGTCGACCAAAAGCTTCGGCAAATGCCTTGAAGGAATGTTTAAAGCCATCTAAGCTTTCAGCCAAATACGACTCTGCACTTAAAGGTCGATCATTGTATTGAACCTTAAACTCATAGGTTGCCTCTTCCAACTCTTGGCTGATCGCGTCTCTGGTGCCATCAAGACTAGACGCCATGGTTTGTTCAAGCACATGCATCAGTTTCTTGCGGAGAGTCGAGACGCCGACTGCAACTTCTGAGTGGGCGCCGAATTCGGTAGGGTGGGCTGAAAAGTATGCATTCTCATTCTTCAAAATAGCATTGGTGATATTTCCAGAACCCCGAGAAAAGAGGGCGGTTGTTTGAGGAACGCGGCTCACGACACCTACATAACCCAGACGAAGGGGGTATTTCGTGTCTGTAAGAACGGCGTTACCGCGCTCGGGATCGACGAGATCCATCTTGGTAATGACACCAATTGTACGCTCACCGCGAGGATCCACCCGACGACTAGCCCTTAAAGCAGTTGAATTCGCCAAATCGACATCAGCTGCCGAAATGGCCAAGACAACATTGGGAGCCTGAATATATTTATCGCAAAGATCGTTGATTTTTTGCTTGAGCTCTGGAGGTTGGTCATGTCCAGCTACCTGAATGTAACCAGGAAGATCAATCATAGAAAGGTCCGGTACATTGGGTGAATAGATAGACAATTGAATAGGGTCGTCTGAGACACAATCCTTCTCCGGAACCGCAAGATTCAGATCTGTCAGCGTTCGCTGGATCTGCGAGAAATCGGTAATTTTGCCGAGCCCCAAGGCCGGGAATTCACCATATTCTGCTTGAGCATTCGGGGTGTTGATAAGTGTGAGTTCAATAGGTCGTCGTGTGACCATATTGGAGCCCTTGGGCAGGAATTCATGTCCAACAATGGCCTCGAGAACTGAACTCTTCCCCGAAGACTGAGATCCAATGACAACAATTGATGGTAGAGTCAGACTTCCAGACTGACCGACAGTCTGAAGAATATTTCGGATCTCAATCATCTTGCGGGTGAGGACCATCATCTGATCATCCTGAGCAACTTCATTCTCAGCCCGCGAGTCAGTCTCCTCCGACTGGTCATATCCAAACGCCGCAGTTGATCCCGCCGCAACGCCGGCGGTAATACCACGGCCTTCCTTCGGCTCCTTATCACCACCATTTTGAGACTGCGATTCCTCATCCGTTCGTAGAATCTTCTGTAACCACTCGGGAACATCCACGTCCTCCGTCGTCTTATTCCACCCACGCTGTGTCTGTTCCGCCACATCCTGAAGACCCTGGAATAACCCCGATGCCGTATTCCCCGCAGTCTCCCCAGCCGTTTTCAACAGGTCCATTGCATAGTTTCCAGCCTCTATAGAATATAGTTAGTAATCACATCTCTCCGCACTAGTTCTTGCACAGCACATACGAGTCGCTTGGTATTGAAAGTAAGCCAAACCCGCAATAGTCGCTCCTCCAAACATAGCAGGAATTCGAACAAGCTTGAGAGCTAGCTTTGGAAGAATCCGGTGAAAGGAAAAAGCTCGAACGGCGGGTACATTGTTGTGAATCCCATTTGCACCTATGGGCCAAGTGCGTCCCCTCAAAGCGGCACCACTATCAGCGCGCAAAAGGCCTCCGGTTCTCGATGCTGCATTATGAATATGGCGTGCCATGCCGGTCCGCACCAGCGGGGCAAGTCGATGGGAGAGTATCCTCCCGCTCATGACTGTGATGAGATCTCATTCAAGGCCAGATGACGGAGGTAGATAAATATCATGATGCTTCCGAGGTCGATCACTGACATCAACGTGACCTGCGCAACTGGCCGCTTCGACATCCGTAGTCAACAGTCACGTGGCTTGAGATGACGTGCTGTGCAAGGGAAGTGAGTTAGGTGTTTGTTGAGAATTTGACCCTTTTTCTGTTTATATTTCATCAATTTGGTGTCGGTGGACTTTTCTTTCATCTTCTTTGTGTCTATAAAGTCTTGGTTGGTGGCCAGTGTTGGTACAGTGGTAGTTCTAGTCTTAGCTTCCGATTGTCGGTGACTCTTCCACTCAACAGCCCAACTTGAGCTTAATCCGACTTTTGAACACCAGGGCTAAGGCTAAAGCTTGAGCTTGGCTTTTTTGGAAATCGCAGATCTCCAGCTTTATACTCCATTACTATATACCGTTTACGTGTTTGTGATTATCATCAACTACTCTGGTTCTCATACGGTGCAATTGGATCGCATCAATACCCAACATGTGCCGTTTTCTGGTCAGTCAAGCTCAAGTTTCTGGAGTGGGAAAAAACACCTGTCATTACAGGTTATGGTGGAACGAACTCAAAGCTAATGTCGAGAATCACAGATTTACAAAGGATGCAATGACATCCGGCTCAGCAAACTTGTAACAGAGCCAAGCCACTCTATTTTGACTCAGTCCTATGACTCCCGCTTACGATTGGTATGATATATCCATCCAGAAAGAGTTGGAGCTCCATATTTTTATTACAATATTCAAAACGAAACTAATATCATGTACAGGACAACCGCCGCCCAGTAAATGGCGATGGCTTCGGTGTAGGTTTCTACACCGACCCAAAACTCGGCCCAGAGCCCTGCGTCTTCACATCCACAATCCCAGCATGGAACTGCGAGAATCTCGAGCGTCTCGCCTCAAAAACCTGCTCCAAACTAATCTTTGCACACGTCCGCGCAACAACAGAGGGCTCCCTCGCAGATAACAACTGCCATCCATTCCAGCACCACTCGCTGATGTGGATGCACAACGGCGCAGTCGGTGGCTGGAATTGCATCAAGCGTACACTTGCCTCATCGCTGTCTGATAAATGGTTCCTCAAAGTGAAGGGAGGAACAGACAGTGAGTGGTCGTTTGCGCTCTTCCTTGATTTATTGGAGAAAGAGGGCGTGGATCCGTCTTCGGATGCTGGACCCGATGGTTTTGGACAAGCGCTACTGCGAAAGGTCATGATGAAGACTATTGCGAAGATTAATGAGTTTGTAACGGCGATTCCGGAGCAAAATAAGCCTGCGGGATTGGAAACACGCAGTTTGCTCAATTTTGCCGTTACGGATGGTCATACTGTTGTTTGCACGAGGTATATTAGTAGCAAGACGGATGAGCCCGCTAGTTTATACTTTTCGTCGGGGACGAAGTGGAAGGAGGGTAGTACGAAGGGACATTTCAAGATGGAGCGTCATGATAAGGGTGCGGATATTGTGTTGGTGGCTAGTGAGCCGATTACTTTTGAGAGACGTGAGTACATGTGTTCCTCGAGTCTTGTCTTGGTGCCATGTCTGTTAGTGTCTTTTTGCTGATCTATTTGCAGATAATTGGGTCTCTGTCCCTACCAATTCGGTGGTTACCATTCACAAGCAGACTGTCTTGCTTCACCCTATTGTGGATGAGTTCTATAGCGAGGACATGAACCATGATCGGTCATCTTGCTATGCTTCTTCCAAGGGTCTTGTCAGCACTGCACCTGGTACTACGGTACCGCCATCTAACACTAAAGATACCTGTGCCCCTACCGAGTCTGTCTTGGGAACTGGCCCGGTAGCTACACAGTGTGCATGAGCCACCCATTGGATGATCGACAGAACTGCTCTCTAAATGAAAGTATGAGCGAGCGACTGAAAGGCAGAGATCTATTTTCTGGTCTAGAGTCGGAAAAGATTTGAAAACGGAGGTGATACCTATTTAGCAAGTTGGCGTCAGGGATGCTTGATTTTGGATAATTTTACACATATTTGCGTGCATATGGATGATGAGATACCGTGACTTAGAGGGACGCATAGCTACAAGATTGTTCATGTTCTAGCTTGGGAAAAATTGAATCAAATACCAACACCAACACTTGATGTTTCTCAATTTCACAACCTTGTTCGATCAACGACAAGGGAGATATAAGTATTATTAAATTATTATACAAAAGGACGAAGACGGGGGTATCGTAACACAAAAATCAACTATCATCCCCAGATATATTCGCATGTTTAAAGTATTTCATGCCAACCCAAGCAACAACAACCCAAACCCACGACATAACAGCCGTAAGTATAATTAATGCAGGATAATACCCAACAATGGGCAACGTAGGATCATCCTCCAATTCCGGCGGTGCATAAGGTGTCTCTCCTACATCCCATGCCCAACTCCAAACTTCAAAGCAGCTGCCTATTCCAACAACGAAAACAAGCCATGTCACCATGAGTATGATCCAGCCCCACCATTCTGTTTCGGAGTAATCCCACGTTATATCTGTGCCGCTTTGGACTTCGACGGAATGTGTTGCTAGAGGAGAGGACTTGGCACGATGAACGGGTCGATAGGCTGTATCTGGTTGGAGGGGGTAATAGGAGTCGGGGCTAGAGGAAGGAGGAGAAATGTGGAGGCCTGTAGCGGCGGACTTCGTAGAGCTCGTAGTCCCTGTCGCGGAGGAATTATTCGCGGTATTAATTCGTGGAAAGGAAACAAGGTCTTCGTCATCGGTGGCTGTTTCTTCGCCAAGGTCATTGTTGTTAGATGTATGTTGCGCGAGACCCTGACGTCTCCTTGCAACAGTCGGACGCGGAACTCTCAAAGCAGAGCTGGCGCGGAACCAGCTCGGTTGGCTCTGGCCCTGACCCTGGCTCTGACTCGTGTCCTCAGCATCGTCTTCAAAACCAGCAGAGAAATCCGTAGTCGGCTCAATGGTGGAAATAATAGTTCCTTTTGAAGAGCGCGGCGCAGGCAAAGTACCCTCTCCCTGAAACCGCGGTGTTTCGGTACGAATGGCCTCAGCACTCTTGCTGATAATCCTTTTATCTCTCGACTCAAGCCTTGTCCCTAGTAGTGCTGTTTTGCGCAAAGAGCCACGCCGCCGCCTTGTCCTTCGTTGTTGTTGGATCACGGCTGCCATGGCCTTTCCGCGTTCCGACGCTTCGCTGTTGATCTGTGGCATGTTGGAGGGGACATCCTCTGTATCTCCATCTTGATCCATTGTGTCAGTGCCTGGTTTGGATTGGTTCATGCGTAGGAAAGAAAGGCGGGAGAGGAGGGAGCCTGAGAGGCTGCGTTTGTGGTTGCTGGTCGAGCTGGCGGAGCGTGTTCGATTGGATAAGCTGTCGGCCGGTGCGAATTCCGCATTGCGGGCTGCGCCATTATCCATTGACGCGGGCAGAGTGTAAAAGCTGAGATAACAGCTCCAGCCTCCTAGTGTCCCAGCATGAGAGAGAATAGCTCAGAGGAGAGCTTAAGGTTTGCGAGTTAGGCTAGTAGTTCACATAGTGTGGCTAGTACATATGTAGCATGTTGATTGGGGGGTTCGAGCGCCGCCAGTTGGTGTATATGCCTGGAAAGTCAGGCATGAGTCTGTCACTAACATCCATTTGAACAGGTTTGCTGCCAGTGAGAAGGTATCTGCTTTTTATAGAGAGATTGACATCCTGAATTTAATAAATATAGCTAAATAATCTCTATGGATGTCAAAGTTGGAGATTGGAATAATTTCCTCATGCTCTTAGCATTCAGACCAATAACAATAAACCGGAAAGCAGATACGAACATGGCTTTTCTAGAAACAACCTAATTATAATTTTAGATGGCCAATTAATCGAATACAGAGATATGGTATATCCACCGACCCTACGAATGAACATTTGAATATATATATATTTAGGTAGGCATTGGTAGAGATTATATGGAAAAAGGGTGTGTTGAAGCATTTCAAGAACACAGCCACGATTGATCCTACAGCGAAAATACGCAAATATTCAGTAGTGCAAACCATTACCATTACTTTAAAGCACCCAAAGCTAATACAAAAACAAATACAAATGGCTCGGAGCAAACTGTTGCATTTCTGTTTCTAGCAACCTGAATGGATTCGGCTACCTTGATTTAAGGTAGCACCACATCGCGGAGTCTAAGCACCATGCATGAAAGCAACATAGGTGGGACAAGAAAGTCATTGCCGACGCTCTAGGGATATCATAATGCATAGAAAAGAAAACGGCCAAATTGGTATATCGGCTAGGACGCCAGCGGGCAAGAAATAGAAAAGAGGATCAAAAAGACAGATTTGGCCAAGCATTTCAAAAGGAAATTCATCACGGCATATACGAATACTGGGGGGGTGAAATGGAAGAAAATGAAGAAGAAAATCCCATACAGGCCAAATTGTCAACTGAGAAGAAAATCCATAGAAACCCCGGAGAGAAGCGTCTTTTGAATAGGGGGAGAGAATGAGGGAAATAATAGCAGAATGACCAGTATTGAACAAGAAAAGAGTATGGGCCTAAGAAAAGAGGAAAGTAAAAATAAAAATAAAAAACCCAAAGCAAATTTGATACAGCACACAAGACATGTACTGGGAACGATGCGATACAAGAGCTAGCAGAGCAAAATCCACAAGAATCAAGCGCAAAACAGTAGAGACAGAGTAGTGAGATCGCTTTTATTTTGGAGCATTGCATAGAAATCGGGAATCCAAGAAAGCCTTTGGACAGGTGTTCGCACACTCGAAAGGGGTCAAAAGAAAGATCAAACCAACAAAGTGGACTTGGGGTATTCGGTGCACAACACACAAATTCCATTCAGAAAGAACAAGACAAAAACCGAAGCTTGGACGCTCGAAAATCCACATCAAAGAGGCAATTTAAAAAGGAACACCAGAGAAAGTGAAATGAATAGAAAAGCAGCAAGAAAGTGGCATGGATGAGATTGATGAGATTGATGAGATTGATGAGATTGATGAGAGGGGATTGAGAAGGAAGAGAAGCGACTTAGAATGGTCGCGGATGATTGGCTTCAGCCAGTGAGAGCCGGATTCAATATATTGCTCGTAACTGTATGGTTGCACCAACGCAATCGGCAATCTTTTTGCAATGGCTTTCAGGAAGGAAACTACGCCTGGTAGCCTCCATTGAAGTTGTTGTTGGACTGATCCCAGTTACCAGACGGGGACATGGGCTGGCCACGCCCATAACCTCCAGCATTGCCTTGAGGATAGCCCTGTCCAGGCATACCAGGGCCGCCGAAGTTGTTGCCTTGTTGATCCCAGCCTCGGCCAGCAGGCGCAGGACCTACTGTTCTGTCAGCAAGGTTGGATGGAAATTTCTTAAGCGAGGGCGAGATAAATTGAAATTATAGTACTAACCTTGATTCATAGGGGTTTGAGGCCCAGTGTACTGCGGGAAGAACGCAGCGGGCTGGTTGTTGAACCCAGCGTTACCCTGAGGCGGCGCAGTAAAGCTGTCGAATTGGCCAGTCGGTGGTCGATCCTTACCCCACTGCTATAGTTAATAAAGATGGAACGTGTACGGAGGACGAGTAAAAGAAGGATGGACATACGCTACACTTTAGGGGACGGCCATTAACGTTATAACCGTTAAGCTGACAGATTGCCATGGCGGCGTTCTCGTGGGTATCCATCTTGACGAATGAGAAACCGCGGTCGGCTTGAAGGCGTGTCTCAAGGACGTAACCGAAGTTCTGGAACAGCGGGATCAAGTCGTTCTGGCTAGTGTAGGGGGTCAAGTTACCCACGTAGCAGGTGGTCTGCCACTGAGGGGTCTGTGATGCAACCATATCATAGCTTTGAACACCCTGAGTAGGGAAGTGGTGGTGGCCAAAGGGAGTAGTAGGGGTCATGCCCATCGCAGCCATGGCCTGTTGCTGTGAGATTGAGGGCTGGCCCTTCTGGTTAGCCCAGTTACAACGAATAGCCCGAGAGCCAAGCCATTCGCCATCCATCGCCTGGAGCGCCTTGTCAGCATCATTACGGTCGCGGAAGGCAACAAAGCCGTAGCCACGCGAACGACCAGTCTTCATATCCCACATCACGCGAGCTTCAGAAATGGTGCCAAACGCGGAGAAAGCTTGCAGCAAGAGATCATCATTGACTTCGTTGCTCAGGTCACCGACGAAGACATGGAAGTGGTTTGAGGTATCCTCCTTGTTGATGTTGTTGGACTGGTAGGCCCAGTTGACCCGGATTTCCTAAAATCATTAGTTAGATATAGAACACTCTAACTTCCCTGAATTTAACCAACTAACCGACTGGTGGATACGACGTCCGTTCAAGGTCTGCATGGCTCGCTCAGCTGCACCGGGATCGTCGAACTCAACGAATCCGTAGTTGTAACCCTTGCTGTTGAACTATAGAAAGTTATGGTTATGAGCACACGTTTCACAAAGGGGAGGGGGGGCACTAGTCATTGAATGAGAAAACAAAGGATAACCCTTATGATCTAGGCCCATTATGCATGAAAGAACAAAGAACCAAATCGCTCGGGTCACGTACACTTTGAGTATTACTCACATTCTTGTCAGGGATGATCTTGACGCTAACCACGTGGCCAGTTGTCTCAAAAATCTGCTTGAGAATGTCTTCTGTCACTCGGGGGTCCAGACCACCGACATAGAGAGCTCGCTTGTTAGGCTCGGGGGCCGCCCGTCGAACATATCCACCGGCACTCGTGGGAGACATCATGTTTCCGGACATAGGCGAGGTAATCGCAGTGGGGATAGGGTTGGTGTTCTGGGGGATGACCACGGGGGGACGGGGCGGTGGCGCCATGTGGGACGCATTGGGCTGGCCGTTGCCCTGAACATTATCGTACTGCTGGTTCTGGGCACCTACAGCAGGTTGAGGTGCCGGTGGCAGGGAAGAGTTGGCGGTTTGAGCGTTATCAGCCATCGTATATTGGCTTTCGAAAGGACGAGACGTAGGATGAACTTGTAAGTATCGGGACGATTGACGGTACAGATGGATTGGAGGAAAAATAAATAAATGTTGAGAGGCGAAGGGCGGTGGACTTTTCTTCGACAATATAAAGATCTTGGTGTAAATACCACAACTGTGAAGGACAACCTTATAGTATAGTATAGAAATACTGAGGTTAGACGCTCGGGGCTCGATAGAGGAATCGAAACAGAGCAAGCTTAGTCGATCCAAACAAAGAGTCAAGACAAGGACAAACAGAAGAGCCTGCGTATCGAGACAGACTTTTCCTTTGATGCAAAGCTTCGTAGAGTAATCTGACAAGTTTGATCGATAGAGAGGAGCGAAAAAAAAGAACCGAAGGAAGTTTTTTTTTTTCTGCAGGAGTTTTTGACAAAAGGTCGTCACAGCTGGAACTAGCGATAAAGCGCTAGAGATTCACGAATAGGGGGGGGGGGAAGGCCAACGAAATGAATCAAGGAAAGCCAATATAAGGAAAGCGAACGCGCGCACACACACACCAAGATGCCGACAAGATGGACAGGAAAGGAAGCACAACACGAAAAGGAAAAAGAGGATTGTACGGAGAGAAAGAGGTAAAGGGCGATGTTGGCGATTTAGCGGCTAGGGGCTCCCCCACCTGACCTCAACGGGCTTAGCGCCCTGGTTCGTGTGTACAACTCTTCTCCGTACCACCTCAAATCTGGCTTCGTCCTTCCCTTTGGAATATCCAACCCCCTTTTTTTCTTGTCGTCCAGTCAGATCCCGGTCCCGAAGGAATCATGGAGAATCCGAATTCTCTAACGGAGCTTTCTGCTCTGGTGGAGCGGACCGTACGTATCCCTTGCCCGCCGCGAAAAAGGAAAAGAAAAAGAACTCTTTTTTATACGCGCCCGGAACCGTTCCTTCTCTGCTAGATAGCTGACAGGTGTATGTATTAGCTTCTGGATACTGGCCGGCTTTTCAGAAAATCAGGGTCAATGCCGACGAGTACTCACCTGCAGCGCTCGATTCCTGCATATTATGAGGGCTTCCAGGAGGCCTTGGATAACCTCACTGAGCAAATTGTAGGTTCCATGAGCATGCCCATTCATGAGATTACCAAATACGATCACATGTAATAATATCTGGGAGTGGTCGAAGGCGACAAAAAGAAGAAATAAGACTGCTGAAGGATTTCTGCTAACATCACCCAGTTCATCGCAAAAGCCTTCTTAGAAAAAGACTATGAAGCCATCAAAGCGCGAGAAGCCGTGCCAATCACCGCTGAAGATGTGGCCATGGACGATGTAGACCAGAAGCTAGAGCAAGAAGCCCAGCCTTCAGAACCCATAAAAACGGAAATGGGAACTGAGCCTTCCCCTGCTGAAGCAAAGGTAGCAAACGATGTACCTGCGCCAACTGAAGCCGCGCCCGTGCCCCAGCCTACCCAGGATGCAGCTGTTAAAGAAGAAAAGCAAACCAAGAAGAACGAGCCTGTGGGTCAAGACTTTACTGATAACGCGGACGGCCTCAATTTCGATTCAGTGCTCAATGAGGGTGGTGGTGGCTCGGGATCCTTCCATCTCAGTCTCGACTTTGATGATGATATGGGAAACCAGGCATTCTTATCCGGATCGGCTTTTGGGAGCACGGGGCCCAATGACCAGAAGACTGGTACATCACAACCTCCGGAGAATTCGATGACAGCCCCTGCTGGCGGGGGTGCTTTTGATATGGAGCTTCAGAAGAGTGAAGGCGACCCGACAGGAAATATATTTCCGGATCAAGGAACGGGGATGGATGATTTGATGGGGCCTGGGGAATCAAGCTTTGATGATCTATTTATGGAGACTGAGAATATGGGAGGTGATGGCACAGACCTCAATCAGTTGGAAGGTGATAGCTTGATGAACCTCAACGAACTGGATGATAACTGGTTTACTTGAGCTTGAACCCCTTGCTCGGAAAATCTCTCAGATAACTAGGGTCAATAATATTGAATGAATATACAAGATTTAGGCAGCTGCCTTTACACTGGGTACTTGACTGTTCGATGGCCAACCTGTAGAATCTACACGATGCTTTTCCTATTCATATTTTGATAAAGTTTAAGGCTCTTGGGCCAAATGTAATGATTCAATCGAAGTCAAGTCTCCTGATCTAAATATGATCCTTGTGTTCCTTCAAGTTCAAGTTGCAGTGTCAGTATGCTTGAACCGTCGGAGCAGTCCTGCAGTCCTGCAGCCCTGCAGGTGTTGTTGTATGCTCCTATACACCTCGAAAACCAGTAGTAGTCCACGACTACCATGATCCGATCCCGGCGCCGACATCGCATCCATTCATCAACATAAGCACATCATAAGCTCCGTCTACCGAACAAAAGACATGTACGGATGCTGCAGATCCACGGTTCAAGATATTCTAATAAATGTCCACATAAGCAAAAGAAACTCCCGAGAAATTAGGATCTGCCAGAATCCGATATGAAATCATCATTGCTTGGAGATGATCACAAATCTCGAATCGTAGTGCAAAAATTGTCATAAGGGCTTTAAGTGATCTTCATAATGATCATAGTCACCTCAAATGCAAACTGGTATCCATTCACTCATACTTTTCCCAAAAATGAGTGACCCAACTCTGACCAGACAAAGGAACAGTCACGAGCATTTATACTCGCCGATCACGAACCTACACCAATTTAATCCACGTACATACACACATATCCCTCACGGACCAAAAAGTCACGCAGAATAACTTGACTGTTATTGTGTAACGAGGAACGGACTTGAACCTAGAAAATCTTCAGCAGCCAAAACCACCTAACCTAATCCAAAATAATAAACAGTAAACAAAGCCTCCAGAAATTAAACTTGAACCAGATTAGATTCGACAAGGTTAACAAGTATAAGAAAGCAGGTTATATCATCCTCTATCCCTATGACGTAGGAGATAGGTACCGCTGACGGCAGATCTCCTTAGTGTCCGCTATAAATAATCCACTGTGCCTGGTACAGCACAGAAAATCAGGGCAGAGGACCCCCAATGTACAATCTTCAGTACGCACGGACGGGGATCCCGACAAGAATAATCACACGAGCCCCGGAATAAATCTGATTCAGGGCTGAACTAGTGTCTTGGGCCCTAGCCCTTAATGTGTTGTGGGTAAGGACGCGTACGGCTACATGTGTAATTTGTAAAGGGTAAGTGGTGTTTAGCGCTTTTTCTTGGTGGAGGTTGGCCCCGATGAGGTCATCGCCAGCTGTCAGGGCACGGACCCGCTTTAACCCCGAGGAGAAAGAGAACAGAAGCATTAAGTGCAGTAGAAGAGGGCGGAGAGTAGAGGTGTGCTAGTGGTACGTACGTACGTATGGTTTTTTTGGCTGCGCCCTGCGCTGAGATCATGATGTTGGGGGTTCGCAATCGCAAGACAGCATGCCATGACTTCAGTGAGGAAGGAAGGTGGTGGTGGTGGTGTGTACTGTACTCCGTCCTTGTACTTGTACATTGCATGTGCATACTAGGTTGCTGTACAGTAATGATCGATGATCTCCCCTACATTAACATTAAAACCCGAAATCCATGTCCGGGGTGTTCAGTCCCGGCCACTCAGGACCCTCCCGCTTGGGCCATGCGGGAAACTCAACATTGATCCTGCACGAGGCGCCAGCGGTTCAGGGGAGAAGACAAGGGTCGTATATTTTATAGCTGAAGTTTCTTGAACATAATCTGCATACAGTACTGTACACGCGATGCATTCCAATCCAATCCAATCCACTCCTGCTAGGAGGATCAGATCAACAGAGTTGATGCGGGGAGTGATAGACATCAAGCGAGGACTGGGAACAGCTGATGTGATTGGAATGGCTGGTCTAGATCAGCCCCTCGGTGGGACAGCCCTCACATGCGACGCAATCTCCGATGGGAATGTTGTCCCCGCAGCCGAATGGCATCGGGGGCGGTTTTTTTCTTCTTTTTTTCTTTTACTGCCGTGTACAGTACAATAAGCTCTTAGTTTGAGCGATCTGGGGGCGGTTACTAGGATATCTGTTTCATATTGATCATATTGATCCCGATTTGATGTGAATATGCTATCTTTAACGTGGAGGGCTTGGTTTTTCTACAGTAGATTTGGGGTTCCGTTTTATCCGGAGAAAAGAAGAAGATGGAATGTGCAATCGTGGGGTCTGGCCGTTGTGCCAGTAGGCCGTGTTAGCCGTGCTAGACAATACCATAGAGGACAAGGAACATTTTGAACAAATATTTACTGGTTTTGATCTTCAACGGTTCAGCTTGGCAGCGATGATACATTATAGACCGTACAGTAGTATATATCTATACGAGGCTGTAGTATAACTGGTCTATAGGAGCCCAATGCCGACGATCATAGTCTGCTTGACCGGTTCTTTATATAATTCTTACCTAACCGTGTCCAATTCCAGTTCCAGATCCAGATTTAGTTCACCTGGAGTTCACCAAGGTCAAGTTCTGGCTCGGATCGCCGGATAGAAAATCCCCAATCGGCGTCGATATCATGTCATCATCGATCGGATTCGACTGCCAGGGTGGATCTGGACCTTTTTTTTCTTCCTGTCTTTCTTTTTTAACAAATTAATGTTCAATAGGATATAAAGTGGGACTGAATAAAATGATTGTAAATCCCTTCTAAGATGCATGTTTCAACTTTTCTCACACCGTGCATCTGCTAATAATCCACGGGCGCCACCATTTCTCACCATTTCTCACCAACACTGGGAAAAACCACGAAAACCACGCAGAAAACCACGAAACAAGACTAGGGAACCAACAAGCCCCAAGGAACCACACTTCCGCCCCCACGACAGCCAATCCGACTCGCTCGTTCCGTGATCTGCAAGGCGATGATCACTTGAGTGGAGGGACCCGTGTTATGAAGTCAGCACCCCGAGGAATTTCCATCTTATTTTTCTTGTAAAGATCGGTTCTTGCTCCTTGCGTATATCGTCGATCTCCAGCATTGAAGGGGGTGTACAAGGAATTTTTTCTACTATTTTTTTTTCTTTTTGCACTTGTACAGAACAACTTTGTGTAAAGGGTCTCACAAAAGAAGATTAAAGATCAAAGGTATGTGAAATCCTACTTCCCTCCCCTTGTTCTGGATCTATCTTATTTTTGCTTTTTGTTCTTTTCGACTATTTGTTTCTGGCTGTCGTGTCTCCTGGAGATCCTTGGGCGATTTTGACGTGTCGCATTCCTTCTTTCTTTTTTCTTATGATCTACTCTGCTTCCCCTTGAGTCACTTTCGTGTGGTGTCAGACATTCTGGCACATTTCTACAAGGCGAAGAAGAGTGGGGAGTGAAGGAGAGATTATCACAGAAGGAAAGCAGGAGAAGACAGCAAGAGAGGGGATTCTAGGATGCAGAGGCAGCAGCAGCAGTAGCAGCAAGCACGGAATCATCATGGCTCACATTATCCCCGCGCAGGTTCAGGTTCCGTCACCGTCGGCGCCTGAGGTTTCCCCGCTTCACTTATCGCTCTCCAACCTCATTCGCACTGGCTCTAGACGCCGTTCAACCCTCACCGTCCAAGAACAATTTCCTAAACAAAGTCGTCGCAATTCGCTTCTAAAAAAGCTGGCGGGCCCACGTGAGAACGCGAAGCGTTTCCTTCGCCTACGGTCATCCGGAGTTCCGGCAGTCCAATCGCCAACTCCCCCGCAATTCTTTCCCCCACGCCGTCGCACTACTCGCCCCGTCTCCGAGATCATCGTATCACCACGAGTCGAACGCAATCCATCTCTAGATACAGACGAAATATCACCCGATCCGATGATGGCGGAAGTTTTACCCCGGGCTGTGGCCGAACAGACAATGGCCGTCCCGGAACTATCGACCCCATTTCCTCCGCTGCGCAATGAGAAGATTGTCGCTACGGGTAGTGGTCTGACAGTAGGCATCGCTCTCACGGAGCCAGTACTCTATCTTCAGGGATATGACCAGCAGGATCCCACTTCTAAAAAGTCGGCTATTCTAAGAGGTCAAATACATCTGAAGGTGACCAAATGTGTGAAAATTAAGAAGATTTCCATCTGCTTTAGAGGCCATGCCCAGACAGATTGGCCCGATGGTATGGATTATCAAACTCCCCCATAACCCTGAACCCAGACTCTCAAGAGCCGAGCAATTTCGTTTCCGAAGCTATCTCTTCCCTTGCCCAATTTCCGCCCCGCCTTGCCTTCCCCGCACAGGAGACTTATGCGCATATTTAGGAATTCCACCCAAGAAAATTCATTTCCACGATAAAAAGGACATGTTCACGCATGGCGTTGTATATTTCAATAACGGAGATCCAGCACTTATGCAAAACGAGTATGGAGCACACTACTACCAGCATGCGAAACCGGTATCACCTGTGCCTGGAAAAGATGGAGTGTCAGCAACAAGCCGAGAATTATTTTCCAAAAGTACCTCTACAACCTCCATCGCCCCCACCATGCCCGGTAGGGATCCCAAGCGTCTCTCCATCCAGACCAACCGCGGCCATTCGCGCAGCTTCAGCCGGAATGAGCCCCCGCCAAGCTCCCAAAATCAACAGCAACGGAACTACCGGATGTTCCCTGTTGGCGACTACCTGTACAGCTTCGAATTCCCCATCGATGGCTCATTACCAGAAACTATTAAAACCGACCTTGGTTTTGTAAGGTACGACCTTGAGGCTATTGTAGAGCGATCGGGCGCCTTCCGCCCAAATCTACTTGGTACAATGGAGATCCCCGTGATTCGCACTCCTGCGGAAGGTTCTTTGGAACAAGTTGAGCCTATTGCAATTTCACGAAATTGGGAGGATCAGCTCCATTATGATATTGTTATTTCGGGCAAATCATTTCCTCTGGGTTCCCAGATTCCCATTGCATTCAAACTTACCCCGCTTGCAAAGGTGGAATGTCACCGTATCAAAGTATATGTCACAGAAAATATTCAACATTGGACAGCAGACAAGAGTGTACATCGCTTGCAACCTGCAAAGAAGGTACTTCTATTTGAGAAACGTGCCGAATCTGCCAGCACAAGTACCTATCCTGGCAGTTCTATGCGCATCACCGCGGGCGGTGGTATCGGTTGGGACCACCGCGCTGCAGCTGCGCGAGGAGAGGAGGTCGTGGAACGGGGCCGCACGAATTTATTAGGAGAATTGGTTAATGATAGCGGTGTCGGTCCCACTGAGATGGAGTTCAGTGTACAGCTGCCCAGTTGCCATGAGATGAAGGGGCGTGACGAAGCACAGCGTTTACATTTTGACACTACATATGAGAACATCCAGATCAATCACTGGATCAAGGTAAATATCCTCCCATTATCATTATGTCCACGTTCATAATACTAATCGTCTCTCCCATGCAGATCGTGCTCCGACTTTCGAAGATTGATGAGCGAGACCCATCCAAACGCAGGCACTTTGAAATCTCCATCGACTCCCCATTCAACATTCTCTCCTGCAAAGCAACTCAAGCCAACATCTACCTTCCGGCCTATTCTCGACCAACCAATGAACCAGAACCCCAATCTCAAGAATTTGAATGTGGCTGCCCCGGTGCACCCCCAGCAGCAAGAGAGCACTCCCTCGCACAATCCAGCTCAGATCGTGACGACTCTACCTCAAATATCCCGCGGCGAAACTCCATCACCCAAGCCGTCACTCGAAGCTTCACAAATGGATCCGGTGGCCTCGCACGCCCCGCGCCAGCTCACATCGCCCACGAGCCCAGCGAACGAGAGACACCCCGCCCCATGCATCTTCTCCGCGCACCCTCCTTCGCTCCTCCAGCCTTCGAAGATCTTCCTCCTCCGCCTCCTCTTATTACCCCACCCCCGGAGTACACCAGTATCGTCGGTAATGGGGATCGAGAAGCAGTGTTGGAAGATTACTTCTCTCGACTATCTTTCTACGAGGAGCAAGATGATGATGATCGGGGCTTAGGGCGTGTTGATGTCCCCCTCACCCCGGGTGGTCGCGTCAACCGCAGTATGGATGTACCGCGAGAATGGGTTCGATTGGAAGATTTTACCGCTTCATAGATAAGCATAACGGCCGCTGTATAGCGATTACGTCTCACGATATCCGAGCCATGAATTTACGACATTGTTCATATCGGAACTGGTGTTGGAAGGCAACCTAGGTTGGGTCTGCTTTTATTTTTGTTATTCTCTCCTTTCCTTCTTCATTTTTCTGATCCATTTTCATTTTCATTTTCATTTCATTCCTTCATCCATCGGTTTTAGACTTGAACTTTATTTCGTTCCTTATTTGGACAAACAATTATTTACATCATGTACCATGATTCTGTTTCTGTTCTGTTCAAAATTGTCTGTTCATAGTCATTGGGCCAAAAGGCGTCAAGTGTATCGCATCTTATAGTGGAGGGTTCAGCTGGAATAGTTTCTGCATTCCATTTAATCTGTATAATGTGATAAGCACATTCTATTTCTATTTCACTTTCAATTTTCCCATTCATATATATCTACATCTTCAATTCATTCTTCCTGAAAATAAATAAATAGATCTTGAATCTTGATGAAAAGTCGAGACTTCACCGATACATTAAAAGTGTGTCATAGATCCACTTCCAACCGCGATAAGCCCGCATCTACTTGCCTTCCCCGGCTTAGTAGTAGACGCCCCCCACATCAATCCCTCCCCAGCTCAAGGTCCGAGACTCATTGACCTTTTTCTCTTCTACCGAACTCCATTCCATCACTCTCGGTACTAATAGTTTATTCGAACTTCACGGTTTCAGAATATCTTCCGATACGGAGAAAGTATCCGCGGCTTCTTTGATTGATCTACGCCGCTTCAGCAGCTCTGTAAGTTTGTCTAGCTCTATCGTCTCCGCCTACACCTACACCGACCGCATTTTGAGCTCTCTGGCTATGTAGCTATTTCCATAGCTCTACTTGCGTTTGGAAGATGCAAGATCTACATAGTGAGGCCTGATGACCATGGTCCCACTACCTAACTTCACTTAAATTGGAGTCGTGAGCTAACGCCGCTCCTGATGTAGTTGCGGGATTACTACAGGCTCTATTCAGCTCTACCCGTTTCAAGATTGATAATAGTTTGATAGATTATTTCCCTTTTAGTAAAGACAATATGGAAATTGAGGTTCTTCCTTTGACTGAGGCCGATATCCCCGGCGCTGTCGCAGTGATTCAGCAAGCTTTTGCCGACGATCCATATTTTAAATGGGTATTTGATTCATCTACTGTATGTATACCATATACCCCCAAAACAACAACAACAACAACAACAACAACATCCTTCAAACTACCCAAAACACCTAGTTTACCGAATACTAATTATATGTAACAGTTCAACAAACAAAGAAACTACGACTCCCTTGCAGCAAGATGTAGATGGGGTATAAAAAACGCAATATTCCAAGTCGCAAAAGAGAAGCCCTCTACCTCTTCCTCTCCATCAACTTCCCCCCTCCAATCATTGGCGTCTCCTGCTGGCTTCCCCCCAAAACACCCACAGATCCAGAGACCTGGTCTTCCTGGTTCTCAAACTGGATATTATCATTCAACCAACTTCTTAATAACATCCGCTACTTTGGACGCGGAGGCCTCCGCACAAATAGGTATTGGATCTGGAAGACGCAGCAGGAGAAAGCGCAAGAGGAGATCTGGGATGATCCGCGAGGCTACTACTTTTGTAATATTGTTGCTGTTGGAAATGATGTACAGGGGAAAGGGGTGGGGAGGGTTCTATTTGAGGCTGTTACAAAGATTGCGGATTTGGAAGGGGTGAAGTGTTATCTTGAGAGTTCGAAGGATGAACCTAATGTGAGGATTTATGAGAGGATGGGGTTTCAGATGACTAGGACTATGGAGTGTCGGGATGGAGAGGATACTTGCATGGTACGTTGTTCGTCTTCATTCTGGTTTCTTTTCTTGACTTTCCTTTTTGATCCCCTGATCTCCATTGTTTACTGAGGATAAACATGTTCCCCAATGATCTACGATCTATGATCTATGCTAATAATGTGACCTAGTTGTACTGCATGACGCGCAATCCGAAAACCTAGTAACCTTTCAAATCGGAGATTGGAGATTTAAACAAATAATGACAAGCAGGACCCTGCGAATTTATTACATGCATTGTCCTACCTTACTTATTAATCTAATCTCCTTAGGTGTAGTAGAGAGTTAGCATATTCTGTTTAGGTACAGAATATATTCCCAGCGTTCGGATACAGGCATATCCTAATATCAAATTCAGCCTGATTAACAATCAGCCTCAACGCTCAGGCCTTAGACCCGGGGCCGTTGCATGAGGTCTACGATGATAAGACCCACAAACAAAGTGGGATCTTTGCCGCGAACAGACCTCTTACGCCATAGACGCGTTATAGCCCTTAGCTGAGCTTAGCTGGCGTTTGCTTACCGTAAGTGCGGGTGTGATATATCGCAAAGTTTAAACTGTAGACCAGAAATTGGATGGTAGCTTAGAGAGCTTGCATGTTGTTGTCGATGATGATTCTTGTTGTGGTTCGAGTAATCAATTCGTTTTATTTTCCTGTTATTATCATCCTGTGCGATATAGTACATTGGCATATTGCTAAGATCATCTGCGATTAAACCCTGGATCGACGATATTTCCCGCGAAGTTTCAGGCGTAGTTCGATTTCAATATCAACGACATGGCCAATGGCTCGGTGGTTTTCCTGCATGCTTCTTATTTTCAACGAGACCGATGCCGAGGGTTCTTGGAACTATTATTGAATTGATAGTGATTATTGTAGATTAATCAGGGATTGGGGATGGTGACATTGGCTTTATATACAAACCATGTAGTTGCCTTCATTGGAAGTGAGTCTCACCTCATCTCACCCTATCCGCTCATTTATCACAACCTACGCGTCAAGGACTTCAGATCAAGAAATGAAAAACAAATCCTCCAAACCCCCACTTTCACGGTCATTTCTTCATCTTCACTTTCAGAATAATGGTGTTACTTGTTTCTCCCAAAGTTCGAGGTCGAGGATTATTTTCCATCCTTCGATCCTGTCTCAGTCGACGTCGACACTTCCATGATTCTCAGCCCAGCAGCGCGGAGCAAACACAACAAGAGACAAAGACAAACTTGAAAGCGATGGCCATCGCCATTCCAGAGAAACATACGGCTCCAAACAGAGACACGCCATGTACCAACTTGAACGACACAGACTCGATCGTCAACCAGCTAGCCGTATTAGCAGCTACCATCAGAGCCCCACGCGATGACACGAGATCTAGCTCTAGCTCACCCTCCACAAAAACAACCAAATCAGAAGCCAGACTTGAAAAGGAGCAGGAGATTGGAGAATCCTTCCTCTACCTCCGAAGCCTTATCACAGTCTCCCAAACACCAGAACCGAAGCCGAAGCCGAAGTCAAAGCCAGAACCAGAACCAGAAGCAGCATCAAAGACAGACTCAAAATCAGACTCTCACCCACCTCTTCGTCGGAAACGCGCTTCTTCAAGATTGAGTCTTCGTCTCGAGATCCCACCACTACAATTTACTCCCAAGATCCCTAAGCCTAAGCCAAGCCCAAGATACACGACCGTTCCCCCAATTTATGCCCCAAAGTCAATCTCCATCCGACCAGAGGTCCGCTTCTAGGCCCGTCCCGCGATCGGATCCACCCGCCAACCAAACTACATCATACCCAAAGAGTTGGATTGGACATCGTTATCCCACATCCGAAATTAGACATCCGAAAGTCATCAACTATCAATGACATCGTTTTACAGGATAAGATCGAAGTATTCCATACAGAGTACTGTACATACGAATACCACGTAACTCTACCGAATGAGTACATCGGTGACAACTGCTATCAATCAAATCAAATCAAATTAAAACCCGAATCGGCGATATTTTTTCCCTACGCAATTATGATTTGATGGGTTCTTCCAAAATTACTAGGATGATCGCTGGGACGCGTCATGAAGGATGTCCCACGACCCCGCGAAGACCCTGTCGAGTCAAGTCAAAAATTCGAGTCAGAATGCAATGCACCATGATGTATGGGTGGATAGATGGAGATCGTCAAGTGTGTTTTGGGATTAGGGAGGGAACCCGGTCGTATTCTTATTTGAATCACAATGACGTCTGGCCTGGTCAGATAGGTAGGGTCTCAGGGTCCTTTCTTGCTCTTTCCAGATTTGCTGGGATTGTCTTTATCCGCATACTTTCGGTTGGATTCTTTTTTTATTCTTTTGCGGGGGCTATTTGTTTCATGTGCATGGTTCCTGCAGCCTTTTTGAGATATTCTGTTGGTTTATCCTTTTAGTATTGATTTTTTTTGCGCGGAGATAGGCTGAGTTTCTGTGTGCGCTCTGTGTGGAGACGGACGGAGGGAAGTGGACTGTGAATCCATGACTGAGATAAATTCCGATAGGAGAAGACGATGAAGGGCGGGATGTATTCATTAATTGTCTTATTTTTATTTTTATTTTTAATGTTTTAAATTGTTTTCTAATTGTTTTCCCTGTGGACACCGTGACCTTTCTTCTATATCATGATGCAATGATCCCGCCTATGACGAGATATCACCGATAGAAAACATCCGTGCTACTGTTTAGTAGTTTAGCCATATCCCGCTCGGCTGGTGCCGAGATGATATGAAACAGACCTCGCCACAACTTGGAACTCCCATCAAATCAAACGACTTGAACACAGAATGTTAGACTTCCCTTTTAGGCCCGGAGCCACTTTCCTAACTCTGCACTGATTCTCCGCCAAGTTCTTTGCCAGCGCCGTTACGTATGTGTTCTACGCCCTCCCCCAGGTGGATAACGGCAGTGGCGTCGGTACTTTCAACCGAGAGAGCTTCATTCCGCACAGACCGTGTGAGACCATCGATTGAGTGGATCGTATCAGATCCCCTGAATCTACACTGCTATACAGAGTTCTCACCATGATGCTCGCCAGTGGGGAATGAACGGTGTTCGATTGGTCGGGGAGTAGGGAAGGGTTCAGGCTGCGTGACCTGATGCTTGTTATGCTTGTTTGTTTGTGTTTTACGCCTCAAACGTCATATGATTCTGGGAGCAGGCAAGACAATAGCCGAGATTGGAGAATACTTGCAAACTTGCAGTAGTAGGTGAATCCTATCGGTTAATTTTCCCCACTTCCTGCACCTGTTTGAAGCTGAAAGCGGGCCGAACAAAAGTACTAGAGGATGAACTAGCGCTGCCGAGGGCAACGTCACAATAACCTCAGATCCATATGCTTGATGGCGAGACTTCCCAAAGCCCCTTTTTTTGTGTCTCTCTCTGCCTCACTCTCTGCCTCGTTGTTATGTTTGCTTAATTCCAGGAAACAGGTGTATCGGGCTAATTAGTGTTGACGGCTTAGCCCATTGGAGGCATAATATTAGGACTTGTGGAGCAAACTCGTCATAATTTCCAGGGGACACGTCTCAATATAAATGCTCCATCTTGAATGGTCGGCTTCTTTTCTGGCCACTCGAAGCGCCCGGAACTGGAACGGCAAACATTGACAGTTCATATCGAGGATGAGACCCTTGGCCATAGTTGATTCCTTTAAAATCACAGGGTCGCTTTCGGCGCCGAAGCATCAGCTCTTCGCGACGGGCCGGAGACGCCACGCCACGGCTATTTGTCCCGGATAATTTCCACGAATGACCAAGCTGCGATGTTTGTTAAATAGCCTGATATGGCTATATGTGAATAGGCTCCGAAAAAACCTTGGAGGATAAGGAAGCGATCATCAAACTTGAATCAGGGGTAACTCTTGCATTGGGGAAACATGAACGGAGAGCGCAGGAGCGTAGACGAGTAGACTAATAGATGAGTAGGTAGTGCCGTATACATCATGTGCATGAGCAGCATATGCAACATGGATTTTGACAGTTCCTACCCTTTTGAGTGCTCATGCACTAGACTTTGACTGTTTCAGATCACTGTGCATGACGACTGCCCGATAAGGCTCCCGGCAGACATAATCTGCACAGGCTGAAAGATCGTCAGTGCCGAGACTTCGGGGCTGGAGCTTCGGCCGTCTTGTATATCCGACGGTTTAGGATTCATAATAATGCTCAACTTGAATCTACTTTGACACATAGTAATATGTGATTGAATGAGATATAAACAAATATAAGTATTTGTCAAAGATTCAAGTCCCGGCTATTGATCCATGCCCTAGTAGACGATCATCGCGGCACGTACATATGTAAGTTTTATTTTCATTTAAACCAGCCAATCAACAATTCAGATTATAGATTTGTTCCTTCTCCTACCTTTCGTACTCGGTTCACATTTTTGCTGGCTTTTTTTTTCTTAGACGACGCTATGGCCTTCTTTTTCGAATGCATTGTCATATGCCGGAGAATGGGTCTTATCCCTACACCTCAGTCCCAACGGGAGAGAAATAGTATAGTACCTAGGTACCTATACGTACCATATTTCCTCTGCCGGGTGGAGATTCCCTATCCGAGGTGCCGCCGCTTTAATGAGGGCGCTCAGAGTCAGACTCACTGAGTAAATTTCAGTCCGGGCGCAGACTCACTGAGCAGCTCAGAATCAATCACATGATGGATTACTAAGGTCTGCTGAGTACTCCCTGAGCACTCAGTGCCGGTGATTGGTTGCTCAGTGACTGAGCAGTGATTGCTCAGAGACTGAATAGACGCCTCTATTTCGCACCCAGCCTTCGCTCGATCCACACCGAAAATGGCATTCTGCCCCACCAAAATGTTTAATTATGAAATGGGTAAACCAGGTTCGATTTCTGGAGGCGTGCCATGCTCTCTTTTCTTACCCAGACCCAGCCGACAAGGGATGGAGCGACGTGACATTTAATTGAAAGAAACGTTTATTATCTATTATGTAGTGATGTAATAATAATTCTCATCTGCTCATTTGATCTGCAACTCGATAAAACTGAATAGATATAAATTGGGCTGCAAGTCCCTTCTTCAGCCATTGAACTGATCCATCCTCATTTCCAGTCAAGACCATTTCATTATAAGCTTTTTCTTACCCGAGTTCAGTCCTGTCTATTTGTTGGTCATGGGGCGAAAGCTCTTCTTTGCTCAAAAAGATGGACTTGGCAGAGAGACGCAACAGAAACTAGCCCAGAACAACGGCTATGTTTTTGGTGCTCATGCAGCTAGGGATTCCATACGCGATCTAAACAGAAAGATACCCAAGACAAAAAAGATGCACTTTGATGCCGTTGAACTCTGGAATGAGTGAGTTTCCGGCGGCTGTACGCTCCGAGACATCAGCAATATTAGACACTGATGCCATACTAGTTTCGTGACAATATGGGGAATTGGAGGGTACAAAGAGGGTTCAGTGTGTGCGACGCCAGATCATGCGCTGATAAAAGAGTTTCTTCGCTGGTACAGTCATACGGCGCAAGGTAAAAAAAGCAAAAATGGACGGCCAGTGATGACATCGGTAGTCAACTGTGCAGAAAGACTGTTCGGCGGGTTTGAAGAAAAATTGCGGATCACAATTATGAAGGAAGACCGCAGTGAGATATACAACGTAAGTTGCCATGTGATTAATGCTTCATAATCTCGAGATGCAACTCAAACTTATTGGGACACAGTGGATAAAGAGAACATTGTCAGAAGCTGAAGGAACGGTTGAAAATGTTGAGGAACCAGATCACTGCTTTACTAAAAAAGATTACCTCCGCATGATATCCTCTATGTGGCAGGCAGATCATCGCCGTTTCATGCCTGGATTGCTTAAAGCCACCATCATGCTAGCCCTCCAGTTGTACCTTTTCACTGGAGCCAGAATTGGAGCTTTCATCCCACCCCACGAGGATAAAGACAAGAAAGGACTGAGATACCAGGTGATCAAATTTCGATTCCGGAATTATTAGTGGCTAACTCTCTACAAAGGACATCGATCTGGTTCTGTTTCCATCCACTACGGCACCTTGGAAAGTGGAATGGAAAGTTAATCAAAAGTGGCTCAAAGGGAATCGAAACCCGGATTACGCAGTGTGAGTTATCTACTGCAAGTTCTTGATCCGGCCGGACTCAACAAAAAGAGATACTGACCGTCTGTCAAGATTCGGAATCGGTATTCGAGATACGAAAAAACCACAGTTCGCTTCTGGTTATTTGCTCCTGGCTCTTGCCTTACAGCATGGTGCCCTTTTTGGTATCAAGTCTGTGGAGGACTTGGCTAAATACGATCTTTCGAGTGGAAAGCCTATCGAATTACGCTGGAGGGATGAATACTTGGAAAAGCCCGTTCTCAGGAACGTCACAGCTGTTGGTCCACAAGATGTTCCGCTTCATAAAGAGCGTTTTTGTGAGCTGCTGCGTGGAATTGTCACCACTGCTGGCTACAGTAAGAGTATAACCGTTCATAGAATTCGGAAATATCTTGGAAGTGTTATTGAAGGTGAAAGGATCGAAAAATATAGCATGTGCAAGGGAGACATCTGCTGACCAATCATGTAGGAAGATATGGATCGGCATTGGTATCTCAGATATACGGGCACAAAGATGCAAGCACATACCCCAAAGAGTATCTACTACATTGCTCTTCAATTGATACGGTTTCAGCTGTTCTAGGGGAAGAAGAACAGTCAAGCCATGGTGAATATTTCCAAGGGTTCGAGAGATTTTATGAGCAAGGTTATCCAGGGGAACTGCCTGCGGAGATCGAAGCAAATATTTTGCAGATGCCGGAACTGATCGCCATCAGCAGTCGAATCGAACAACTTCAAGCCTTGAACAGTGACAAAGGGTCTATAGCTGCCGAGAAGCTGAACTACAAGAAAACCCTGCTCCGACTTCGCATTGCAGGCCTAAAAGGATACCAAAACCGCTGGGTACGAGAGAGACGAGACCACAGAATTCTCAATAGGGGAAAAGAGGAGCCTCTCATCAGTGACAACGATGTTTCCACGCGTGCTCAATTCTTACTCATGCCCGAGCTTGCCAACATCTCATCATTAATGTCTTCTGACAAAGAGCTGTCGTTCGACAGAATGCTCGCCTTCGTGGATGATCTGAAAACCCTCTGTGAGCGCGATTTTGATGTGGTCTATCTTCCACGAGAAAGCCCAGTACAAGGGCGATGTCCTGCAAAAGACTGCCTCAAAAGAATGGATTGGTGAGTTACCCCAAAACATAGTGATGAGATAAATGCTGACTATTACCAGTTTAAAAAAGTCTGACAGAAGTGCCCATATCCACAATTGTGTTCAACGTGAGATCGCTTTGGGTCTTCAAGTCCCGGAGTCACGGTTAAAGTTTTGTTACGAGTGCATGGAATGGCTGCAAGAAATTCAGTGGCGGGATCACTGTTCTTTTCATATCCAGTCATGGAAAACACAGTGTTATGAAGTCATTGTGTACCGCCACACGATTATTCGGCCTGGCTACTGTCCCTTCTGCTTGTGGAATGTAAATCTAGATCCAGAAGATCGATTCCATCAGTGGTTGAAAAGTGGCAATCTAAAACAACACATTGAGGAGAAGCATATTGGCGATGAGCCAATTTGTGGATGTGGCCAACGTTTCGACAATGAACGTAGCCTTCGACATCATTTACATGACACTCACAGGCTGAACAAAGCTATATGGCAGAACCCAAGACTCCCAAGAAAGAGAAAACGAACCAGCAAGGAAGATACTTGCCTTCCTTCCATGAAAAGAAATAGTCAGATCCGGAAGGAGCTTAGATTCTACCGTTACCCACCTCCACGTCATGAACACGAGTATCAGATGTCAGATAATATTTTCCTGCCTGTCCACGCCTTACATAAGTTCGTGGAAGAACATCCAGAGAGAAGTTACCTCTCTAATCTCACCAGCCAGCCAACCGAAAGCATCAGAAGTACCTCATTTGAGCCGATATCTTCTAAGGCTACGCCACCGTTGAACTTGTGGCCAATAACGCCCGGATTGGAAGTTATCGATCCTCAAATCCTCGAAATTGCTGACTCGGGTCAAGAGCATGAATTGAGGCACTATGATCTGAATTATACATCGCTCAATAACTCCGAGCTCTCTCCAGATCAGCGCAAGGTTGGGAATAGCCCACCTGGTCCTGCACAAATTTCACAAGTTCCCGTTCGGCCCACTGCCATCGAACCTACTCCTGAAGTTGATAGCAATGATTTCCAGGGTGCCCATGCTTCTAATCACTACACAGAAATTGAGCGCGAAACCTGTAGTCATATTCCAGGTCAATTACGCTCTCCTGACACACCCGAAGGGGGGTTTGGCATGAAAGTCATGTCGCTCAGCGGCATGAAAAAGTCACAGTGCTCCTTCACAAGCCTCATAGAAAGCGAACCGACCGAGAAGGAACCCTTAGGCTCAAATCACCCCGCCTTCGCTCTGGGAACCGAGAAAAATTCAACTGCCACAGATGACCACAAAATTGATCGTCATGCCCATCAACGAATCTGCAATAACATCTCTCTTAACGTTGGAGATCCCAATATTAGCCATCCTGGACCACTCACGAGAGCCCAGGCAAGGCAGCAGCGGACTCAGTATTGTGCAGTTGATGAGAATAAGAAAAGTTTACGAAAGACACTCAACGCGAAAGAGAAACGAAAAATGCGTGTGTTTAAGAGCCAGAATCACACTTTGGGGCAAATCGCATCCGAATTTGCAGATATTGATACCGCCATTTTGCGGCAGGCTTGGAAGGAAATGAAGGTTCCTCAGCGACGCACAAGATCACGAGCTCATGGATGTAATTGAGTTTTACTTCGACCATAGCATTATAAAGCATAGTAGCTTAGAAAGATGAATAATTGTATCAATGAAACTTCGTACTTAAGAGCTAGAAGAGCGTATTACTAAAGGGGCCAGCAGAGTCATGCTCAACGCCAAGTCATTTACAGTACATTACAGGTACGCGTTCGGCACCGCCACACCAAATTACTTCCGATCTTTACTTCATGTAATGTAATGTAAGTTCCATGTCCGGTTTTGTAAATCTGTCTTTCACTCATGCAGGTCGTCGATTGTGATTGCGCCCACAGTGTTTTTAAGTGCTAAACTTTGATCTTATGGTCCAAATGCAAATTCATTCTTAATGTTCACAGTACATCTACGGTCTCGCATCTATTTTCTTCTCAAACTGATTATGTGGCTCGTATTTGAACCGGCCTGCATCTCAAGTTCTCAACTAATCTCGTAGTAGCGGATACAGTATGTATCATTCCTGACCCTTGTAAAGTTTATTTGCTTAAGTGAAAGAGACTTTGAGAATTGATTACGGCGCGACTTTATAACTACGCCATTCTGTATGTGGTATTATGTTGACGACTGGTGTATTTGGCTGGTAACTGGTTTTCAATATGGCAGACATAATAAAAAGTTGTTTTTTCTTCATTTCTGAGCGACAGTCGTTCAGCTCGTCTCCGGACGCTACGGCAATGCGAGATAGATACAGTGCTATGAAAACATTTCACGGGGTGAATTATTGAAAAAAAAAAAAAAAAAAAAAAAAAAAACCTGATTTCCCATTCTGACTGGCATGATAACTCTGCCCTATAGTGATACCAGTGACTGAATGCCCGGTGAGGGCGTCAGAAAAACCACGGAAGTTTGCTGAGGAGGAATCTGAAGGTAATTCATCAGCCAGACCAAAAGGATGAAGGATAGGAGACAATGTTGAGTCTTGCTTTGCGCTGCTTTCGAGGAAAATCAGCCCTTTGATATTTTAATCGTGCACAGGCTACAGTAGACGTTGAGGAGTGTGTAATTAAATGGGCAAAGAGGTGGCCACGTTTGGCTGGAAGCATAATACTGCAAGTAGTTGAGATTCAACATATGACCCAACTCAAGCTCAACAGGGTCTCTTTGACATCCGAATTGATATCAGAGGCTCGGGGGATTACGCTGCTGACTTTTCTAACAGAGGCCATGCTTATTTCTAAAATACCCAGGGGTTTACCGATTTTGTGCTCTCGATCATACTAGAGATATAGGACATCATTACTTTCATCAATATCAAATTATGTACATATCGGAAAGAGAGCAACGTACGATTGAGCTGTTTTTTGCGGCCTAGTAAGCCATAGAAACATATCTGTTTCTCTTTGAGCACAGGAACATGATAACACTTGCAAATAATAAATCGTGGAGCTTACAATCAAGAGTAACAACCATCGCATGGGGAAAGAGAAGTACTTGATTCCTAGAAGTTTCTCTTCTATTGATGGTTATAGTGGGTTTGCCAGACCTATGTTTCAGTTTAAATATCCCAATCTTCCCCGCTATATAGCCCATCAATGACCATTGCGTAAATCAATGTGCTGCCTGTATATCAGCTGCGTGTAAAGCAGTGCAAAACTTAATTGTATTCTTAGAGCTTCAATCAAGAACTGGAACTGGAAGAAGCTACCTGAAACAACAGAGCTCATTCTTCTTACTATATAAACTTCTCTATCTACTTGGAACTTTTGATGCAGAAACCAGGTTTCTTTGAAGTCGTAATAGGTCTCAAATTCACAATATAAAATAATGCACGTAGCGTCGATGCATTGACTGCCGTTGTCTACCCAAAGGTGTATTCAAACATCACTGAAAAAAAAAAAAAAAAAAACCTTCACCAAAGCCTTCGCTCTGGGTAATGTCGCAAAGTCAGTCAAGGGATCAAGCGCCATCACTCTCTCTTTCAAGGGTATCTTTGTGGAAGAAGAGATACGCAAAACGACAGTCAAACAACGACGATATGCAACCTTGCAGGTCAATTTCCCGGGTATGCTCATCGCAAAGTGTCCACAGAAAGCGTGGTAAAAGAACCCGGTCTCTTGGTGTTGGGATCAAAAATATACAGATGATACAAAGATTGGTACACAAAAGCCAGGCGCCGTTATCAAAATCTGTATATTTCATGAAAATTGTCCTCCAAAATCACCTTTGTCGAATTCATGACCATATTACCAAGCAAAAAGACTACCCAGAGGAAATACTCGACGACGAAATCCTGGGAAAGTTCGCACAGAAATACCCAAAATACAAATTGATTGTGGATACCCTTCCTGTCGTCGGGAGTTTTATATCTGAAGACACAAAGCAAATGCTCCGAGCACGGGTCAAGTCCAGGACAGCGACAGCTATTCTCATTTTGCTAAAAGGTCTGATGCTTTGAGGAAACTCCCGAACATGAACTCTTCTTTTCGTACCGTACAGATTCAGATGCGATTGCTTAATTCGAAATGGCCTTATAACTTCCACCTAGAGCATGTTTACAGAACCTTAACTCTAGGCTAGTAATGTACCTAGCTGTACTTCTCAGAGGCTCAAAATTAATATAGCGACAAACTTCAATATCTATCTAGGTAAATTACGTACTGTACTGGCTTTGTACTGTAACTCATTCGGACTTGTGCGATCGGTGCTGCTTGTAAAAGTAAGAGGATGGTTGCAGGGCTTTACAGTACACGGGTGGATATGACGGTAGATGCGGACCTAATGGGGTTTCAGAATAAAGTGCAGTGGTGCATGGTTATCTATGCCTCGTTTACGTCGTTTCAACTTCCAGTAAATATGCAGAACTATTCTAGGAGCTGGTACGCTCTCGGGAATATTTTCTCAAATCACCTTTAGGCTCGAGAGCTAGGTGCGAGAGCTAGGTGAAAAACGTGCTACTGTATGCCTTCGATTCGCCTACAAGCGCTATAGTTCTTCCACCGGACCTTGCATCCAAGACCCAAGAGCTTGAACCATGCCTTCTTCTTATCACATGCTGAACTATAAAGATGCTTGTTTATCAAATAGTTACTGTACAATTTTCATACAATGTTTCTCTCTATCCTCAACGGATCTGATGATTTATTTCTCGTCTAAATTTTTAAAGATTCTCACACCATGGTAATTGTTCCCTGAGACGTTTCTGCCTTTCACAAAATTGCTCACATGGGGCGGTTTCATGTCTTGGATACATTTTGCATGATTCAATTTGGCATTCTGAATAGTGGAAGGAGATTAAAAGAAGATTAAAAGGAGAATAAAAGGAGAATAAAAGGGGAATAAAAGGAGAATAAAAGGAGAATAAAAGGAGAATAAAAGGAGAATAAAAGGAGAATAAAAGGAGAATAAAAGGAGAATAAAAAGAGAATCGTCCATTTCAAGAATTATTCGTGAAATGCATAGATCGTGCAAAGCGAGCCACGGCGAGAGGGGATCTTGCCAAAAGAACAGATCGCTTCCCTAGAAACCCGCGATATTTCTTGTGTTGAAAGACTTTCGCTTCTCAGAATGAAGAGTATCTGTTTTGAACGATGTACAATGAAATACAGCCATGGTATCGAAGGAGCTTTCTTTCTAGAAAAAGTAGCATGTTTGTGTTTGTTGACAATTGTCATTCCAACGTTAGAATTTTGAGATGTGATGATGTTCAATATCACTATTATGATATATTGCAAGAATGGAAGTCTAAATGAAATTCAAAAATCGTTACCGGCTGTTCATTTATCAATATCTCAGTTGCGCTGCTTTAAACTAACGTTGAAAAGTATTTTGAAGTAAACCAAGCCTGAGCGGCTTGTCAGGAAAAGAAGCCCCAAAAGGAGCAAAAGAAGTTAAGCTGTATTTTACTACAGTACCTCCATAACATTTTAAACGATCGCTGTAATTCATGCCCAATGATGGGCATAATGTATACGGGAGTCTAGTCAATGCCCGTAGGCTTGGGGATAAAGTTAAACGTCGTAATGTTGGTTTCGTTTCTGTGCAATTCCAGCTTAGTACAGTATCTGCAGAATGATATTATTGTACTGATTTGAAAACAAGTACATCTGGAAGAGCTGGCATATCAACCATTCTTGTCGAATGTGACTTGTAATCTTGAAAAGTGAAGTGGTTTAGACGTTGTTTATTTGACCAGGAATGGGGCAAAATGCTCCGGCCTGTCCAAAAGGACGGAAATCTAGGATAGAACTCCAGAAAATTGCACGCTGATTTCTGGGCTGAACTCAAGGATTTATGTCTACCATTGCAAATATCCAGCACAATCAAGAGACGGCATGTCGACCACGCCTCATTTCGAGCACTTCAAGAAAGTGCGATATCAAGGGGTCATGAATAATTCATTTATTTGCGATGACCTTGCAGGTTTTACGTTACCACCCCTTTTCAATTTCTATACATAGAATGTATACATGGGTGTGAGCCTTTCGCGAATCTCATTGCCGGTTTTTTCTGGTCAAAATTGGATAGGATGTCTTTGTGCAGCGCTCGAAAGCAGAATTTTTCAGTGATCGCTTGTCGACAAATAAAGACGTATCGTGTATTGCAGGCCGCGTACACCAGGAATTCTCTCCGAGACAAAGAGACAAAGTGAGGCCAGAGTACAGAAGAATTCGAAATTGGCTTCCATCTTTTACACAGAAAACCTATCTCAGACCCATAGCCTAAGCCAAAACTGGATTTGACTATGCTTCATTCAGCGATATTGCGGGACTCTTGCCTGAATTTAGGCCCTCTCATTGGATAATCGGTTTGGTCAAAGGGCCCAAGAAGCCAATTTCGAATTCCTCTGTAACTTTCAAGCTAGATAGACGCAGAATCAGCACGTACTAGGAGGGAACCAGAGGACATCTCATAGCAGTGATAAGTGCTGGGAGGGAACCAAGGACATCTCCCCAGACCATCAATAATCACACTAGTTGCAAGAAGAGGTACTATGAGGGAACCAGAGGACATCTCATAGCAGTGATAAGTGCTGGGAGGAAACCAAAGGACATCTC